ATGTCAGCCCCGGTGTCAGGCAGCGCGAGTACCGAGGCGCGGCGCTGCGCCGTGACATCCAGGCGCACGCGGGGGGCGCTCTGCACCGAAGCGACCGCGATGATGGCCGACGCGGCCGGTCGCCGCGCCGCACCGTCCGGGCTCCGGTCACTGCTGCCCTCCGACGACTGGAAGCGGACCCGGTTGCCGCGCCACGGCTGGCGCCGTTGCGATCGCCGTGTGTCCAGCGACGGGGACGGCGATCTCGACGACGAGCGGTACGGGTCGGGCCTGTAGCTCCGCCCAGGTGGCGAGCTCCGCGGCCGAGACGGGGCCAGCCGGCGGCGCTCGTACGACGTGGTCGGTCGGCGGTCATCGTAGTCGCCGGATGCGTCGGGGCAAACTGCCGCGAAGTGGTCCAGCTGGCGGCAGCTGCGACAGCGCTGACCCCGGGCCGGACACGCGTCTCCCATCCGGTGACGCCGCCGGCCGCACGCAGCGCACCAGCCGCCGTCGCGCCGCCTCGGTCCAGCGCTCGGCGGCGCTCGGTGGCGCTCGGCGGCGTCCACTCGGTGGGCGGCGGCCCGGGCGAGTCCGCCTGCCCGCAGCTCCACGGCGTCTCTGGCGGCCGCCTCGTCAGCCCTGCAAACAGCGATGGCATGCGACAGCGAGAGGTTTTGGACGGCGCAGAGACGTTTGACGGTCTCCGCTGATCTCAGACCCATCACAATTCTATCCCTGATTAGCGAATCATTACACGCGTCACAAAATTTGCAAGCACGAGACAATTCACGCAGGGAGGTTAGAAAATCATCAAAGACCTCCCCTTCAGCCTGAAACCTTTCGTTAAACCTCTTCCTTTCGATAACCTCGTTTACTTGGCCCACTGCGAAACGCTCCAGCGCGTCCAGTACAACCTCGGGATCGGCACGCTGGACCTCGGTCAGCTCCAGGTTCCTCAGGACGCGGCGACTCTCCGGGGTCATGACATTTTTCAGGGCAGCCAGCTGAATGTCAGGTTCAGCGTCTATCAAGCCGGTCAGGAGCACGTAGTCCTCCCAGCTTTCTCTCCACACCAGGAAAGACTCACCCCGGTCCGTGGAGAGGTCCAGGCTGTCCGGTGCTCGTACTCGGCCCGCCCACGGGGCCGGCGCGCTGCGGGACGCACGACCGCGGCCGGCCCGCTGCCGCAGCGCGGCAGCCCGAACCGCGACGGAAGCGGCCGGCTCCCGAGACGCATCCGGCTCCCGAGACGCATCCGCTACGCTGTCGGCGTCAGAGTCCCCCATTGCTGGGTCGAAAATGCACAATAATTATGCACGTCGCCCTGTCACACTTGCACTGGTAATCGCACGTTCACGACCCTGCCGGCTGCGCCATGTGAAGACGCCTCTGAACCGGTGCAGGTGTATTGTTCACAGCGAGCGAGCGTGGCGCGGACCCAGCAGAGACTGCCGCGGCCCCGCACGGTCCGGCCGGGAGCCGCCGCCGGACCGTGCCCCGAGGGCACACACGGTCGTAGAGATGCAAACCCCAGGTACAGACTGGGGATGCACACCACCACAAATACATAAATATGAAATAGGTACATGTTTTGAGGCTTCATATCAGCACATAGAAAAGGCAATCAAAGAAAAGGCACCTTTGGGCATTGATTATTTTTGCTTGCCATCGCCTAGTCAATTTTTTCATGTTGCATTGTGTTAATAAACTTGGTAATGTGTTTTGCAGGTCCTGGGCTGGTCCTCTGGCGTGCAGGACGGCGAGGAGTGGCTACCTGCACATAACAACACAATGACTGGCACCGAGCTGAGGGTATAAAATCACATCATATCGACTTCAGCATCTGTCTCCCAGCTTTGGAGACGTCGCCCGACTCCCGAGTCCCTGAGTGGCGAGCGCCAGTTTCCGAAAGGAAGTTGAGGAAGGCGACCCAAAAGCACCCGCTGGGCTGCCGACACTCCTGCGCTGCCAGCAGGGCGTGCCGCGCAGTAAAGCCTCGCTGCGTGGTCTGTACGACATCCGACACCGGCACCCAGACGTGCAGTTTCTGATGACATCCCACCTCAACCAGGGCTGCCCCGAGAATCTGCTAGTGCTGACTGCCTGCTGCTGAGGCCGACCCGCCGGACCTGTCGCCGCCCTGGTGAGCCTGAGCCGCCCTGGGACCTGCCGCCGCGTCTACGCTGCTGCCCTGGTGAAACTGCTGTCGCCCTGCCGAACCTGTCGCCGCCCTGGTGAGCCTGCGGCCGCCCTGGGACCTGCTGCCACCCCGGCGGACCTGCCGCCGCGTCTACGCTTCCGCCCTGGTGAAACTGCCGTCGCCCTGCCGGACCTGTCGCCGCCCTGGTGAGCCTGCGGCCGCCCTGGACCTGCTGCCACCCCGGCGGACCTGCCGCCACGTCTACGCTTCCGCCCTGGTGAAACTGCCGTCGCCCTGCCGGACCTGTCGCCGCCCTGGTGAGCCTGCGGCCGCCCTGGACCTGCTGCCACCCCGGCGGACCTGCCGCCACGTCTACGCTTCCGCCCTGGTGAAACTGCCGTCGCCCTGCCGGACCTGTCGCCGCCCTGGTGAGCCTGCGACCGCCCTGGGACCTGCTGCCACCCCAGCGGACCTGCCGCCACGTCTACGCTTCCGCCCTGGTGAAACTGCCGTCGCCCTGCCGGACCTGTCGCCGCCCTGGTGAGCCTGAGCCGCCCTGGGACCTGCCGCCGCGTCTACGCTGCTGCCCTGGTGAAACTGCTGTCGCCCTGCCGAACCTGTCGCCGCCCTGGTGAGCCTGCGGCCGCCCTGGGACCTGCTGCCACCCCGGCGGACCTGCCGCCGCGTCTACGCTTCCGCCCTGGTGAAACTGCCGTCGCCCTGCCGGACCTGTCGCCGCCCTGGTGAGCCTGCGGCCGCCCTGGACCTGCTGCCACCCCGGCGGACCTGCCGCCACGTCTACGCTTCCGCCCTGGTGAAACTGCCGTCGCCCTGCCGGACCTGTCGCCGCCCTGGTGAGCCTGCGACCGCCCTGGGACCTGCTGCCACCCCAGCGGGCCTGCCGCCGCGTCTACGCTGCCGCCCTGGTGAAACAGGTCCGTCGTCGCCCTGCCGGACCTGTCGCCGCCCTGGTAAACCTGCTGCCGACCTATCGCACTTGCCACCGCCCTGGTGAATCTGCTGCCGACCTGCCTGACCTGTCGCTGCCGTGGTGAACCTGTTACCGACTTGCCGGACCTTTCTCGCCGCCTTGACGAGCTTGGGGAGCCTGTGCTGAGGTGCCACCGCTCTGTTTCACGTGTTATGTTGCCCGGTTCCTGGCTGTCGCGGAGTCAATCGGCACATTGTGTTTGGAGAGGCGACATCTTGTACAACTTTCCGACAGTTCGGAGCATTGTATTGTACCTACTCAAGTCGCAAGAGATTAGGCTTGTGCCTTATTTGTCCTCTACCAATCTGTCCAATATGGTTTTTTATAACTACGATTTATGGTATGACATAAACCGGTATATTGTGTACGCATTTGGTTCGTTCCAGTCAGAAGTTTGGAATGTGTACATATACTTGTGTTACGGTACAATTTCGGTTTGTGCAGTTCACACAACCTCTCTTGATTATGGGGCGAAATAGACGCAAAACCAGGGCTGCGGAGTCGGAGTCAGGGTCGACAGTTCTGACCGGACTCGGAGTCGATTTTGGAAACCGAGTCAGAGTCGGGGTCACCGAAAATCCATCGGCTCCGCCAGGGCTGCGGAGTCGATGGATTTCGGCGACTCCGACTCCGACTCCGACTCCGGCTTTAAAAAACCAGCTCCGACTCCGACTCCGGGCAGAATTGTCGACTCCGACCGACTCCAACTCCCGACTCCGACTCCGCAGACCTAGCAGGGCTGCGGAGTCGACATATTTTCGGTGACTCCGACTCCGACTCCGGCTCGGGTTTCTAAAATCGACTCCGACTCCGACTCCGCAGTCCTGGCCGCTCCGCAGATCTGGCAGGGCTGCGGAGTCGGAGTTAGAGTCGGTAGGAGTTGATTACCCAGCCCGGAGTCGGAGTCGGAGTTGGTTTTTGGAAGTCGCGGTTGGAGTCAGAGTCACCAGAAATCCATTGACTCCGAAGACTCGCGCAAAACTATGGCGATTTTCATCTGCGAGAGGGCCGCCGATGTGCTGGCCAGATCACCGGCGGGGCGTACGTTGGCTCGGTCCGATCCCAATAATGTCGCCAAATCTTTGGTTCGAGTAACAGCTGGTCCTGATTTGCTTCACTGAGGAAACATCACACCGTTCTGCCTTGCATCGGACATCAAAACTGCACTAAAATCCGCTGAAAACGTATTTAAACGTCCGTCCTCCATAATGGCTACGGACGGCGGCCGGCGAGTTACCATCCCAGTGACGTCATTCGGGCCCGGTAGGGGGACGGTAAAAAAAAGCCTGATGACCATACCTGGTTATATGGCCTTGTTTTCCCCCTTGTGCGTGGGACTGAACTACGTCTTGCTGCACACAGAAAGCTACAAAGAAAGAAATGTATTATGTGCGCCATTACTGTAGCAGAAGAAAGCATCAGCGTTAATTTACTGCCATCGTTTGGAATCAGTGATTTACAAGAACGCGTACCTTCTAGAACGCTTATCCCTAACCCAGTTGACTGTTGAGGTTATCGTTTGGTTATGGGCCTTGGTTATGGAGTTATTATGTTTATAGCTGCGTCACCATGCATATCCATCACGGTGACATGACCATTGTGAGCGACCCTTGGTAAAACGAAGTTGGGCACGAGACCAGAGCCTGGGGCTGAAACCCACCTACGTAACCTATGATCCTTTTGTGGGAGGCCTCCTGGCTATTGAACTCTGCTCACCTGCAATCGCAGTTCACGGGCAGGCCGTCCCAAGGCCATATAGTGGCCGTCCGGTATACGAAAGGCACGTAAGCTTCTGAAGCTTTTTTCTCTGTTGTTTACCACAGCGCCCTGGCCCTCCAGGAATCTTGCCCTAGCCTACAAGTTGACACCTTTTTCCTAAACGATACATAATCACGGAACAAACAAATATATTTTAGACCGTCGGCAGACAGCGGAGAACATCCATCATAAAGGTAGATTCGCCAATGAAGTCAGTCTGACAATTATTGGAATATAACTTAGCAACATTTAGAATGCATCGCGTACACATCCAACGCCGAATTCGAAATAGGTATCAGCGGAACAGGAGCAAACCCCCTACCTACCTTTCACAGAGCACAACTCGCACCATGGGCAAGTGGAGTGACAAGTAACAGCAATGACACGAACGCAGCTGCGCCCAGTGGCGTACCCAGGAATTTGCGAAGGACCAGGGCATTGGACGAGAGGGCGCCAATCAAGGAGGGCGCCAACAACAAGGAGGGCGCCACATATCTGAAACTTGAATGTGTCAGTTATGTTCGTACACGTGCGGAACGAACATAACTGACATACTGGACAGAGGGGCGCCACCCACCATCATCTAGGAGCGCGACGCTATCGATTGGAGGGGCGCCAATACTGGACAAAGGGGCGCCACCGGCCCACCATATCGTCTAGGAGGGCGCCACTGTCACCAGAGGAGCGCCAATACTGGACAGAGGGGCTTCGCCATCAACTAGAAGCGCGCCGCTATCGACTGGAGGAGCGCCAACACTGGACAGAGGGGCGCCAGTCACTGAGGGCGCCGGGGACGATGAGCCAAAGGGACAGGGCATGCACGGAATGTCCTGTATGTGCGTACGCCACTGGCTGCGCCCCAGTCGGCACAGCTCGGCGACTGTAGGGCAGCAGGCAATACAGCACACATAACACAGCTTATATCCTCTGGTGACCTAACACCCAACGCACCGCCCGCACTGCCCCGCGCCCAACGCCGACATTACGGCAAGCAAAGCAGGAGCGACAGTGAAAACCCGACCCTGCGCAACTCCACTCTGGCGTCTCCATAAATATCAACACGTGTTCATATTAAGTTCTCAGTTCTTGATGGCTCAGATTCTTGCAAAACAAGCAGCTCCGGGTTAGACCCATTGATATGCGAGACTTTCACACCCGCCAAGTTCCCAAATCACAGCTCCGTTATTTTATATGCAAACGCGCTGAAATATATGTCATGACATGATCGCGAATCCCTATGACGTCCGCACTCACATTAGTAAAATAGCGATTTACCTTAATCATTAAATCACCGCCCAAGTGGGTTCTGGCAGTGCCACATTCTAGAGCGATACTCTACATGAACAATAATGGCAAGTGGTCGTCCTTAACAACTAAAGACGCTAACTTTGAGGTCCGTCTATATCGAGACTAGTGTGGGAGAGCCTTTTTAACACCATGAGAAAACCTTACTTGTTAAGCCAGCCGTGTGGACTCAGTGATTCCTTTCTGCATGTATCACCTTACACGCAATCAGCTAATTTCATGGCTTGTGAACAGAACTATTAAACTCAAGTCATGGTTGAAACCGATATCGTATCAACTATCCCGGACGACATAAGCCCTTACTCCTTAGCTGTTACTGCACGCGGGCCTATACACTGACCATCGGCTGCAGCGATCTGTCCTCTGATCTGTCCCGACGAAGCCACTCCTTTACTTCACCCGCGGCCTCTTTCCGTCGCGCTGCTCCTGTGCTCTCTCCTGTGCGTCTCCCGCGCTCTCTCCATCGCGTTCCGGCCCCGGCGCGGCCTACACCCTCTTCAGGTGGAAGTCGACCCGGTGGTAGGCGTTGGGCGTCCTACACCCTCTTCAGGTTGACGTCGACCCGGTGGTAGGCGTTGCTGAGCACGCCGCGCAGGTTCCAGATGTTTTTGAACGTCTCCGGCTGGGTGTTGTAGCTGGCGTCGGTGGCTTTCACCCAGAGCTGGGCTGATGTGGCGCCGGCCGGCACGGGCACCCGGCCCTGCCACAGACACCAGGACCAGCAGCGTCCGGCCGGCGCCGCCTCCTCCACCGTCAGCGCCATGTCGTGCCACGTGGCGCCGCCGTCGGCCGTCACGTCGACGCGCACGATCCGCTGGCCGCCGCCGCTCCACGCGTAGCCTGACCGGACGGGGGGAGGGGTCAGCGCTGGGACGAGGACGACGCATTCCACCAGAGTCCAAATAATTCAACTTTTTGTTCCGGCGTTTAGACGAATAATAAAACCGCCGGCGACAATAAAATATGTAAGTACGCACGCTTAAACATTGGGTTGGTAAGGAGCCTTTGTTGTAATTAGGTTACACCTCCGTTATCTTCTTTCACAAAAGAAGCATGCTGCATACCGTTTAGTTCAACTGACACACAAACACTCACATGCCATGCCTGCGTTCCCACTCCCGGCAGTCTGCCAATATGTCAGCCGGGACTCACCCTTGACGTGCACGTGTCCGTCCTTAACCTTGACGGCGTGTCCGGGCGCGGGCCAGCAGATGGCCGAGTTGACGGGCAGCTCCTGGATGGCGGGCGACTTGCTGAAATCGACCGTGTCCCAATCGACGGACGGGTTGAAGCCCTTGTAGTCGCTGTGCTGCCAGTGCGAGTCGGACTCGGTGTCCGAGACCGTGATCCGACCTGCCGGGCGCGCGGCGGTCAGGTCAGGTTACACTCAACTTGGTTATACATATCACCGGCAATAAGGGAAACCTTTATAGTTGGGTGATTGGGTGACTGCAGTGTTAACTTCAATTCTAATTCGTTCTTCCCATTATTGAACAGCATCCCAGCCATTCATCCTCAAAGCATACTGAACGAGAACTGAAATGCATTTATAAGAGCTGCAGCGGGTTTCTTCATTCTAAACTCAAGATCGTTCTTCAATCTAGACCATACTATCTCAGACGCTTGCAATGTGGCTCTCCCGCCTGCCCACCATACACATCCTATGTGCGTGTTCCAAATATCTCCAGCCTTCACATCGCGTGCTCCTCCCGAGTCCCGCCGCATGCTCCCCACGAGTTCCACCCAGTGCCCCTCCCAGTTTCGCTTTACGTGTCCGTCCCTGCCACACACACACCACCGCCACGTACCGAGCCATTTGACGTTCCTGGCGCCGACCACGCCCGGCACGATGACCCTGACGGGCGCGCCGTGGTCCCGGCTCAGGGGCTGGCCGTTCATCTCGTACGCCAGGATGACGTCGCGGCGCGGGTCGACGGCCGTCTCCAGCGGGATCGAGGCGCCGTACGGCGTGCTGGACGGGTCCGTATCCAGGCCCTCAAACTGCAGAGACGGGGGGGGGGGGGTCAGTTCGGAGTGCTGGTAATGGTGGTGGTGGTGGGGGGGGGGAAGGGGGTCAGTACGGGGTGCTGGACGGGTCCGTATACAGACCTTCAAACTGCACAGAGAGGAGGGGGGGGGGGGGGGCGGGAGGGTCAGTTAGGAGTGCTGGCCGGACGCGCATGGTGCTCAATAATTCTAAATGAAGCAGTTCAGTTCCTTCGAAGCGTTTAACATTGTTTTTTCTATCACAGACGATGACGATACAAATACAGCAAAATCCCTAACGGTCTGTCGTAATGCTGGTTTAGATCCAGTAAATCTTTGGAAAAATAATAAGTCAACAAGCTGTAGCTCTACCCCACTCACACGGAATCCCAGAGTTCTGTTCCTTATCCTGTTCCCATTTCTCAGTCCCGCTCCCCACACACACACAGTCCCACTCTCCACTCAATCCCGCTCCCGATACAGGCCCGTTCTCCTACCCACACAGTCCCGCTCTCCGCTCACGTAGTGCCACTCTCCACTGACAGTCCCCCTCCAACACTCACACAGACGTGTTTTCCGGGCCCGCTGTTGACGTCGTAGCCGGCTGCCTTCAGCACGTCGGTCAGCCGGGCGCCAGTCCAAGTGGCGTTACCGACGGCGGCGGCGCCCCAGAACAGACCCCGCACCGGCTTCACCTGGGTCATCTCGCTGCGGCGGTTACCTGGCGGGCGGCGCGACAGCGCGTCAGCTGACTAGACCGGGTAGCTGGCAACTGACTAGCTACCCAGTACTTGTCAGCTACCTGACACTTGTCACCAAGGTACCTAGCATATCTCAGTTACAGCATACATCCCTCCACTCTGCCCGACACTTTCATCTAAGTTCCCGGCTGATACTCGCTATCTGTGCTATGCTGCTATGCTGCTAAGCTACCTGATCTTTGTTATATTTACGTTACTTTCCCGACATAATCAAACGACGCATACCATGACATCTCAGATGACCTGCGATAAACAAAGTTATAGACAAAGTTAATGCGTGCGCGCTGCAAACTACTTTGCAGTTAATACGCAATAAATGTGCATTAACATGTTTGTAATGAGCATTTACTTGCTCACATATCTTCAAATCTGTCAATGGCCTCCCCAGTCCCCACGTAGAAAAATGAAACTAAAACAGATCAATTTCGACGAGACCCAATATAGCGGCAGACCTTGGAAACAGGGGCCTGGCCGATTAACATACACAAACGCCCGTTCTACAAACATACACCGGGCCGAGCCCACGCAGCCAGGCCGGGGGTGACTGACCGGTCGAACAGGGCTGGCCTGCCCACGCCGACTGACCGGCGGCAGCTGAGGGACGGACCTGCGCACACGGGGCTGACCGGCAGCGGGCTGACCTGCGCACATGACGGTGGCGGTGACGGTGACGGCCGGAAAGTCGTTCTTCAGCTGCTCCAGGCTCAGCGTGAGGCCGTCCACCCCCACGCCGTCCACCTCCAACTCGTACTCGGACGGGTCAACCACCGGCACCGGCAGGTGGTTACGCACGTAAAACAGGTCACTGCCGGCGCACCGGAGGACGGTCGGGGTCAACCGCAGGGGTCGGGGATAGACAGACGGTGAGGAACACTGAATGGAATACATATGCAGCCTCCTGACTGACTCCAAAGCGTCTTAACATGAATAAACAAAGAAAAGCACCAATATCGACAATACCAGTCAGGTCCATGTCAGCGAGAGCCATGAACTTGGTATGCGTCGTTGACATTTGCCAATTATAACACAGCTGTGCCACAGATGGTACAGCCGCGGGCTCGCTGCTCGTACTTGGGCGTGAGGAAGTTGTCGGCGAGCAGCGCTGGCGGCGGCTCGGCGTTGAACGGCGTCTTGGAGCTGGGCTTGAGCGCCGGGTGGCGGCGCGGCTCGGCCGCCCACGGGTCGTCGGTGCCATCCCGGTGGCTGCCCACCTCGTCCTCACGAACGTTACCTGACGGCGACGGCTGACGTCAGCTGACGGAGTAGCCTGACGTCAGCTGATGGTGCCAGACAGTCATTGCCGAATGCCGGTAACGCCTTATGTAAAGCTGGCACGTCAGCAATCACGATAATTCGACTCAATTGGCGACAGCTAAATGTTGTGGTATTATAAGAGGAATTCAAAGACTGGAAATTGATCAACATCGCGAAAACCCTCCATCGGCGCCATCCATAGTAACCGTTCTCTCACTGGTACAGCAAAGTTTAAATAAAACAATAGAAATTAAACTTTTAGCTAAACAGCTAAAAATAAAGAATATTTAGCTTCAAAGGGTCCCAGTGCTCTTTTGGGGCGCTTTGGATTTCCGTTCCCGCTAAGGCCCGATTCCTTCAGCAGCAGGGGACGCGCCACTCACCGATTCGGTAGCGCTCGAGCAGTTTGAGCACATGCTCCTCCTTGTGGACGGCGTAGAGGTCCCAGAACGGGTCGGCAGAGCCGCCGGCGCCCATCATGATCGCCGCGCCGCCTGAGGGCACCCGGGACAGCCGTCAGTTGTCATACTCAGACTGCTGATCAGGCGCAGAACAGACGTAGAATAGATGAAACTTCAGCTACGGACGGAGGCAGCAGGGGAGCGATGGTTAAGTACTCATAATGGCTAATTACTCGGCATGCTGCCGTAAATACAAACGAGTTGGTGGAAAATACTGATACATAACGTCATTTCGTTCTCTCGATAACAATAACAAGCTACTGGTGACGATACAAAATAATGGTGTTTGACACTATTTCAGTTGTCACAGCTGGTTATCCTGCCCGTGTTTTACATAGAACAGCTCGCGTTGAGTCATTGAGAACCGGAGGGGAAGGGAGAGGCGGCGTACCGGGGTGCTGGCGCACAAAGTCGGTGACGTCATACACGCCCTCGTGGTAGGTCATCCAGACGCGCTCCTTGACGTCGGCGTGCCGCGACACCTCCTCCATCGAGAAGGTGGGCAGGTCGGCGCGCCGCTGGCCGTACTGGCCGCTGCTGGCGGCGCTGGAAGCTGCCGTCAGACGGCCGCGCCGCTGTTGCGCCAGCCACAGCGCCGAGCCGGCCAGCGCGGCGCCGGCGGCCAGCGCGGCCAGCCGGGCGGCGCGCCGGCCGCGGCCGTCCTCCGGCTCCGGACCTCCGGGCCCGGAGCCGGAGCTCAGGTGGCGCACCAGGCAGGGCGCGGCGCGCGCGGCACTGGCGGCACCAGGTCACTACACTGTCAGACGGGGATACTGGGAACCGGCCCAGCGCGGCCGGGGGCTGTCCGGCGCAGCCACAGCTGCTCCCGCGGACACACTCACTGATGGTGAACCAAAACACTCAGTGTGTAGCTATTTCACACAACAGCTGGCAAAACAGGCGGCATCACATGTGGTAGCCAAGATCGCAAGGTTGACGTAAAAGAGTCGACATTTGTCGGCTTCATTCGTTGCCCGACCTTGTGGTTTTGTACGTTGAATCACTCGCTCATCACTTGGATGCCTTTGTAGAGTAATACAAACTACACCAGTAGTGAATCATGGCTAGCAGTCAGATGGAAGTAGCACACGGTCGGTGCACAATTCTATAAAGTGGCGAATCGGTAGTGGGTGAACGTTTATTTATCAGTGAACGTTTATCAGTGAACTGATAAGACAGAGCAATTTCAATTAAGTTCTAAGAGATTCATGAAAAGACCACGGTTTTTATGTTGTACCTCGACAATTTATATTGTCCTAAAAGAACGGTATCTTTGAACTTCTCATTGCTCATTATTCTACTTTCGTTTTACCTGTTTTATGTGTACGAATCGTTACGATGAAATAATATTAGAAACGCCCAGGATTTGGAAAACAATTACACATTATTGAGACGTTCCGAGACTGCACTGTAACCGCAGCATTGGCGGGCCATCTGCAGACATGAGCCCTTGGATCCGAGAACAATGACGAATCCAAAAACGCGGTCTTGAACGATGCGGGGGCTTACACGAAAACAGTTTCTCCTACTTCTAGAAAGTAGAAACTCACCAGATTTCGATTTCTCACACACTGCTGTGCATTTGTGCAGTTTAAAATAAACATTTCCTGATAAAGATGTTCAAGTTTCTTTTACCCTCGAAAAAGACATAAGTTTTCGTGAAATTCGAGCGACGTGGGGAATGCATGCAAGGCATTTGCCCCAAAGCTCCCTGGATCCGCCAGTGCTCGAGAAAATAAATGTGGGATTCCTACAGATCTTCCTATTCGGGCACACGTGAATTAAGATCGTGCATGTAAACATTGATCTAATGCCAGCCAGTGTCAGCGACGAGCGCCACTTCACAGCTGATAATACGATATCGATAGCACTCAACGTCCCGAGCCCAGAATGCCGTAGGACGATTCGCTGACAATGATATGTGATCAATAGCGTCCGAGCCCCGGGGCGAGGACCGAGCTCGGATAACTGCCGATCTGTAACCGGTCCAGCTTTCCGGGCTCGGGCATGAGCCGTGCAGCCGGTATCCCTTCTGCTCAGCACCATGATTCAGCAGTTTTTGATAGCGTGCAGTCGGGAAGTGAGGGTCGAACGTTGCATCAGCGTTCGGTTCGGACCGGCGCCGGTCGGGACGATGACACAGCGCTTTTAGGAGACTTTCGAGATTATATGAATGTCGAGGGGACAGTTAACATCTACTATTGTTTTGGGACTGTATGTATATACACACTTGTGCAGTTTACATATCATAGCAAGCAGGGGCAGAACGTTTACCGGTTACGGCCTGACGGGAGGTGGCGTTCAGCAATCGGCTGGGTCACTGACCTGGTTAGGTGGCGCACGGAGCCACCGGTCGCCAGTAGAGAGGTCAGCATGGCTGAGCGGACCGACCGACTGAGAGTCACTGAACGGCGGGTCCGGGGGAGACCAGTACCACCCGCGACTGGGACACACTGAGCGGCGGGTCGCGGGGAGACCGGTACCACCCGCAGCAGCACCTGCCGGGAGACCAGTCACACTGTCACCGACCGCCGCCGCGCCACACAGTCCGCGTCACACTGTCACCGACCGCCGCCGCGCCACACAGTCCGCGTCACACTGTCACCGACCGCCGCGCGCCACACAGTCCGCGTCACACTGCCACCGACCGCCGCCGCGCCACGCCGTCACTGAGTGACACTGCCACCGACCACCACCAAACCCACAAACACACACAGCAGAGGGTCACGTTTGGCGCCGCCTACCGACAGTCAGACCTGGCCTGGCGCCGCCCACCCGTCCCCTCACGGTCTGGCACGGACTGTCCCATCCGTTGTATGGGGGCCGCCCACCGGCCAGCACCTGTCCCAGTCGCAGTCAAGCGCCATCCCACCAGGCCAGCCGGGACCCAATCACGATCTGGAGCTGCCCCCAGTCATCATCTAATGCAGCCTAGCCAGTCCAAATTGCAGTTTGGCGCCTCACCAACCCTACTTTGACTTGTCTAACACCGTCTTACCCAACTTAGTCGTGTTTGTTCCTCTCAATCCTCAAAGCCACATAATACGCAGAAATGGGATAGATTTTGAAACAGGGCTTGTTATCAGGCTGGAAGTTCTACCTGGAGTCACAATTTGTTCACCAAAATTTTACTGGCTCAGATTTAAGAGTTGGAGTCAACATCACATAACTTAAACTGATCACTGAATAGTGAATACTGAGCCTTAGCTATGCGCTACACCTGTTTGCTTGGATGGATTATGGCTATGCTCATTGATAATTCCAAGGCAGATATTGTCAAAGCTTCGGCCATGCTCCTTTTCAGCAAGAAAAGCAGAGGCAGTCAATTTATGAAAGTTGGAATCAGAAGAAAATCCATAAAATCTGCAGCCCTGTTTCCAACTCAGATGGGCCTATTCAGGCTGCTATTTTGTTGGCCGATAACATTTTACCACCATGTGTCATCAATGACTGGAACAGTCTACAGCCAGCAGTCATTGCCTCCAACACTCCAAAGTCCAAACCAATTCAAATTAAAAAAACTGGTCTGATGCTCACTGGGCAAACCTTGCACATTCCCTCATGAAGATGAATAGTCAGATGCACGAGGAGCTCAACTAGAAAGTTTTTTAGGGCCTCTGGAGTCTGGACTATCCAAATTCCGTACTTTGTATGTAGGTAGGTACTTAAGTAAATAAACGTGATGACGAAGCACCCAAGCACTGCGTGGCTGTTTGCTCTAATAGTAAGTACCTACCAAATTGTTGAAATATTTTAAATTGGTTGTCACAGCATGCAATTTTCTTTATGCTTCAAAAGCATACTGGGTCGAAATGAAGTGTGAACCAGCGATTGATTATGATATTTTACTTTGAGAGCAGCATATCTCAATCTAACAAATTGAATTCATATTTCATGCACACCATAAAACAATTAGATAAGTATAGTTCAAGCTGCTTAAGCAAGTTCATTCAGCACATGCACATAATTTCCCAACCTCAACAGGGCCTCCTCTAAGGATTTTTCACTGGGTGGGCAGAATTTTCGCCACTTCCCTGCCCAAGGGCGAATCCAGCCACTGTTTTGGGGTTCAACCAATTTCAAAACCTGTTACCGGGGGGGGGGGGGCGGGGGTGAGGCGAAATAAGCAGTGCCGTTATTGGAAATAAGATGATAGTTTGCAAAGTTAACGTTTGTCGTATGTTTTATGGTTAGCGATGCTCGAGCGATTCGTTCCAGAGTTACATGTACAGCCCTCCGCAAACTGCGTGGTAGGTATTCTTATTCGGTATTCTTGCTATTTTGACAATATACCAGTTTTTGTGACTTGTGACCTGGCCTCAGGTCACTGGAACCTAAAACTCCAAGGCCAAGTGACAAACAGATGCTCCAAGTCGTGTCTTAAATTTGGTAGCGCTACGTGCTATAGAACTCACGCTATCAACGAAAAACTCTGGCATTCGGTTGCCGCTAAACTAGTCCAATTTTCCCCTGACCTTGTACGGGGTTTGTGACCTGGTGACCTGACCTGAAAAGACTAGAGATCTGAAATTTTCAGGACAAGTGCCAAAAGGTTGCCCCAGAGGGTATGCCAAATTTGAGCGCCGCCGTTTTTACGTTATTTGTGAAAAACCTTAGGGGGGTGCATCAACCCCCTCACCGGGCGAGGGCTAACTAACATAATACATTGTAGTAAAGGCTACCCGAACCGGTAATGATTCTTGCTTATTTGTTTAGCTCAGCCGTATTTAGAGATTTAGCTGGCTTTGTCCATGAATAACAATATCGGCAGGGGCGTAGCCAAGGAGGAGGGGCCACGGGGGCAATGGCCCCCTCCCTTGAGCGCAAAACGCGCCATGGGGGAGCCCCTCAGGCCCCGGGATATTTTTTCAAACACTGGATAAAACGTCTTTTACTCGGAAGAAAATTGATATCGAGGTTTCATTTCTGTGTCCCTCTGATGACCCAATGGGCCCCTGCACTCATCCGATGACCCCCGGTTTCCTGGGGCCCCTGGTCGCCTAGAGGGCCCCGGTCGCTTGGAGGCTAGTCGCATGGGGGCCCCTGGTCGCCTGGGGGCCTGGTCGCCTGGCCCCTGCTCCCTGGTCGCCCGGAAGAACGCTTGTCACCTGCAGTGGCATAGCCAAGGAGGGGGCCAAAGTGACCATGCCCCCCCCCCTGTAAGCCAGGGGTCCTTATTCTATAGGGGCCCCTGGCTGACACAGTGGGCCCTTGGCGACGCAAAGGCCCCTTCGGCAGATCCTTTGACACAGCTGAGTAGTTATACTTTGGCCAAGAGAGCCCCAATTTTAGAGCCTTGGGGCCCTATTGAAACCAGGGGGTCCAGTTGGATGAGATGGGTCCAACTTGGGTCCAACGGTGTGTAAACAGAATCAATGCGTTCCGACTGTTGGTCTGACCCTATATCGGTTTGAGGGAGCTCGGATCGGATCCACTGTCGATCTGAGGGGCCCCTATCGGTTTGAGGAAGCCCTCAAATGCCCTGAACGGGTCCTTAGTTTGTCTGAGAGAGCCCTCCGTCGGCATGACTGGGCCTCTGCAAGTGCAAAGAGGGCTTTTGTCGGTCTTAGTGGCCCTTAGGCGGCTTATATGACCCTCAGACGGCTTACGAGGCTCTCATGCGCTGTAGGGGCCTGTGACGGTCTGAAGAACCCTCATCCGACCTACGGGCCCTCAGACCGCCCTCAAAACCGACTGGCGACTCTATGAAGCTATTCGTGGGCCTATCTAACAGGGCCCATGGACTGCTTACCCCCTCAGTTCTAATATTTTTTGTTAATAAATATTTTTCTATTTATTTGGGCCCCCTCCAAAAAATATTGGATCCAACCAGATGGCTTTTTGGATTTTGAGGGGGTTATTTTGGGCCCCTGTGCGTTTGGCCCCCTCCTTGAGGAAATTCTGACTACGTCCCTGAATATCGGGCAACCAGAAAACTTTTTTTTGACCTTCAAACAGCATCCAGTTTGCTTAAGACCAGAAAGGTAGTACCGGACGTCCGGCCGGACCAGAATTTTTGCATTTGCTTCTGGGTGGGCAAATCGACGCCACTGGGTGGGCAATTGTGGTGACTGGGTGGGCATTTGCCCACCCAGTGGGTATGTTAGAGGAGGCCCTGAACCTCAACCGACAGGCACAAGGACAGGCACACATCGACCTTCACGGGGAGCAGCGGGGAAATCAATGAGAAAGCTTGGAAATTAGTAAACACACAAAATCGAGGTCACCATCAGAGGAGCCTTAGTATTTTGCAGCTTCCTTCATATGCTAATTTTTCATACAGTTTTGTGCTGTAAACCGATTCCAAAGTATCCCAATTAGAATTTAATTCAATAAAAATAGCATGAGGCATAAGAATATAAATCATTACATCCTAGGAAACTCAAAATAGATGGTATAAAAGAAGCTCCTTTTTCCGTTTTAGCTGTAAAATAGCACAGTTTATTTTTAATGCATTTATGACGCTGCTGTTACATTCGTTTATTTCTCTTTTGACGCGATTTTGTGTTTCACATCATGCTTACCAGTGCAACCACGCTGTCACCAGCACCGACACTGAAGGTATGGCAAACAAATAACGCGGATTGGTCGGGCTTTAACGCAAAGGTCAACAGACATGCTCCCTACGGCCTGTCTCAGACCATTTCCAATTTTATGGGGGCTATGAAGAAATCGGCCAGTGAAACGCTAAAAGAAAAAACTATTAAGATTGGAACTGCAAATGAATCTAAAAATCTTGTCTGGTGGAACTGGAAATGCCAAAGAGCCAAAGCAATAAGAAAAAGAGCCTTCAGAAACTTCCAGAGATGCATATGTCCCAGACATGCCCAACTGTATACCGCTGCCCGTAAAGAATGTGCGGAAACTATATACAAAGAAAAGAAGGCGGCATGGCAAAACTATGCCGCTAAATGTAATCGTTTTACCCCGCTCAGCGAACTCTGGAGTCATGTTCGTGCTTTCGCCTCACGACGAACTAATTTAGGTGCCTTTCCGCAATTGCTTTCAAACAATATATTCGTAACTGACCCAGTTACCGTCACAAATATATTTGCCCAACACTTTGCCAACACATCGTCTACAGATATTTACTCCTTGAGCGTGCATCGAGCTCTCGTTAATAGAACAGTAAATCTTGATTTTTCTTCTGCAAACTCTGAACCATACAATGCTCCTTTTACCCTAAGAGAACTTAAAGGAAATAGTTCACTTTTAACATGGGGTTTGGAACTGGAATAGCAGTTTTGTTGCTTGCGCTGAGACTAGCACAAATCAGAAGCTTTTACGGCCCAACGATCACCCTAGACGAAGATATTCCATTTTTCGTTCCGAAAAGAGTGCCTTGCAGAGGAATGCGTGCCTTGCTGAGGAATGCAGTCACGTCATCGTCAGCCAATCAGAATGCTGCTTACAGCCGATGGGTTTGTCCTACGCAATATGATTGGTCAACGCGTAATAAGCTTCCGCGTCAAACATTATTTTATATAGAATATAGTTCTTCTTATACTAAAATATAGAAAATAATCCTTTTTACAAAAACGTTTTGTTTTATTTTCTGATCATTTTGAGCATAAAAAAACATAAATCCATAGCAAAATACTAATTTCAGGAAAGTGAACTATTTCCTTCCGTACTACTATCTATCCCTAGCAAAGGCAAGCACTAAAACTTCGGTAGGACCAGACTCCATTCCATATTCTTTTTTCACAAAATTGAACGAACTTAACCTTTCCACACTACTGATAGCATTCAACAAACTATGGACTGAGGACAACTTCCCGGATGAATGGCTTAAAAGTATAATCATACCTATCCTCAAACCCGGCAAAGACCAGCACGACGCAAATTCGTATCGCCCAATCTCACTAACCAATTGTGTCTCCAAGATTTTCGAAAGAATGGTAAACAGGCGCCTGCGATTTTACCTTGAGAGCAACCATTGCATTGATATATGTCAAAGCGGTTTTCAGAAAAATCGTAGTACGGCAGACAATATCATTCGCCTTATCTCGGACATCCAGGTAAACTGGGAACATAGGCGACCGACTGTTGCTATTTTCCTAGATCTAATGTCAGCCTTCAACAAGGTACACAGTTCGACGATAATTTATAAGCTGCACTCAATCGGAATCAGAGGCCATTTGGCTGCGTTTCTTCAAAATTTCCTAAAACCCCGAACTTTCAAAGTTCGTTGCCAAGCGACACTTTCTGACGACTTTGTAATGGAACATGGCGTCCCTCAAGGCAGCGTGCTGTCACCTACGCTGTTCTTGATTGCCCTGAACGATATGCTCCTACTCCTGCCACGTGTTCTAACATTTTCTGTCCGCTATTCGCTTTTTGCTGATGATATAGCAATATGGGTATCCCACAAAAACTACAAACAGGCTTATTCTATATTGCAAACAGTGGTTGATCACTGCGTTAAATGGTGCACAAAATGGGGATTCTTTTTGTCAGCACCAAAATCAGTCATGATGGTCTTCAAACGTGGACCCCGTCCATCGCTTGAAAGATCCCCACACATCGATGGGATTAAAATACCTTTTTCCACGTCACACAAATTTCTAGGGATCATTTTGGATACTAATCTAACCTTCCGTCAACACGTTGAGCACCTAAGAGCACGTTGTATTAAACGAATCAATGTCCTAAGATGCATATGTGGGTTTTCTTGGGGTGCGGACAGGAAACATTGCAAATGTTGTATATTGGGCTAATCAGATCTACGATTGAGTACAATTGTTATCTGTTTAGCACACTGTCGCCCAGTTTATGCAAACGTCTAGAAGCCGTTCAATCAACGTGCTTGAGACTTCTAACTGGGGCTTTTCGCACATCGCCAGTTCTTGCGCTTCGTGCAGATACCGGCATTCCAGCACTTGATGACCGACGCGTCTTTCTTTTCCTCCGCTATTACTACAGAGCAAAAAGTGTTCGAAATCACATTGCGGTACCAGCAATGGAGGCGAGGAAACCAAGAACCCGACGCCCACTGCGTAGATCGTGCTTTCTACCCGGGTGCCTTGAGCAAGCTCATCAACTGCTAAACATTAGGCGCACTGAAGTTACTCTAAATCCTCCTATGATTCCATTTTGGCTCCTCAAAGACCTATCCATTGAATTTCTTTTTGATTATAAGAAGACCAGTATACCTCCGGTGGAAGCTCAAATGCTCTTCCAGGAGTATGTAGAGCTCAACTGCGACTCTGCTTTTTTCTTCACAGATGGCTCATGTCACGAAAATCAGATAGGTTCAGCAGCCGTCGGCCCTGGGCTTAGGTTTGGGACCCGGCTTCAAGAATTTACGACAGTCTTTAGTGCCGAAGTTCACGCAATCGAAAAAGTTATGGAGCACATCAAGGCAGAAAAGATTGATCGGGCAACCATCTGTACTGATTCGAAATCCGCTCTTCAAGCACTGGAAAGGACCGATAATGTTACCCACCACGGTATCTACAATATTCTCAGGATCACATCAGATCTCAATGAGGGCCAGCATGTGACCCTTCTTTGGGTTCCAGGTCATTACGGTATTGCAGGAAATGAACGTGCGGATGTCCTCGCAAAGGAGGCTGCAATGCGACCTGATCCAGTTGTGGAACCTATGGCCCAAGGGGACGCTATTCATATGATAAAAATCAAATTCGCCGAGTACCTTCAACGCAAATGGGACCAACATCATGCTGCACATATGTATGCGATCAAACGAGAACTTAGAACATGGGTCACATGTAACCAACCAGACAGGATACGCGAGGTGACCCTGGCCAGATTGAGGTGTGGTCATACTCGCCTCACCCATGGCCACCTTTTTGATAGGACGGGCCCTCCGATTTGCCACACCTGCGACACACGCATCTCCGTAGAGCACATTTTGATCGCATGCACGGCATTGCATCACGAACGAAGACACATCACTAACTATCTTGCGGTACAACACCTTAAAAACGACCTCCCGACGCTTCTCGGGGACGACACAACATTGACAAACCTGGTACTTGATTTCGTCCTAACATCACCCTACTCAGAGCTACTTTAACGGCCTTGACTGTTAGCAGGCGCCCGTTTCGCTACCACCAGGCTGACTTGTGATACGGGATGGGTCGGGTTTTTCGCTGGTGCCGAAACACAGAGCTTCGGTGGCAGACGGGTTTTCTCCTGCCGCTGGAGCAGGCTTAGAGGCTCAGCGGCCCAGCGAGCTACACCAGCGGACCCCGGCCGCTGAACAGCGGCGGCGGCCGGGTTGAACGACCACAGACAACCGTCGGCCGCCAACTGCAGCAGCGACAGATTCCCCATCCTCCAAACCATTCCTTTCATCGTGACGCTTAAACATTCACAAACCCCATCCCTCCCAGCGACATATCCCCCACTCTTCAAACCATTCCTGTCATCAAACTCTCGTAACCTTACCATTCACAAACTTCCTCCTTCCCTCCCTTCACAAACATCAATTTACCGGTAAGTTTCACTGTCATTTATGTGTCTTAACGTAAATTCATGGGTTTTTTCCCATATTCATGGCATAGTACATGGATATGGGTTTTCCCATGTTGTCTTGCTGTAAAAGTGGCCACCGGTCTTAGTTAGGACGGCCGGTTTGTTTTGCGCGGCGTAGTTAGGTCGCCGCCCTCCTCGCGAGGCCGGTAACGTAAGTTAGGGCCACTAAAAAAAAAAAAAAAAAAAAGCGATTTTGTGTGGAGGGGCGTGAGCAAAGCCAAGCCAGTTATAGAACTCCGGCGTGAGGTGTGTTAGGTCGATTTTTTCGTATGATGAATATCTCATTTCTGATGAGGATGTTTTGTTTTTCTTTCAACATTAGCTTACACCATTTTCATTGTTAAATGATGATTTATACAAGCTTCGTGCTAATAGTTAATTTTCTCGGAAACATTTAATACTCCTCAAACACGTCAGTTTTAAGTTTTTGCACTTTGGAGGCTACATCAGTAGGCGGAACTATGGTCAAGCGTACCCATTTTCGGGAACGCATTTTCGTTCCCATGTTTGGGAACGATAAACCCAAATATGGGAACGCCATGTAGGCATTATTTAAAACAAGAAAAAGAACTGTTAAATGACGTCCAAAAAATATAAAACGATCATGAACCGCCTGATATTTGTCTCAATATTGTTGGGAAAGAGTTTGATATTGTAAGGCCCATTGAAGTTTCAAATCGTTCCCCTATTTCTAAAGCAGTCCATCATCCGGGCCGCGAGCCCAAATTTGGGAACGCTCTCGTACACTGGCGCTGCAAGCGTTCTTTATTATGGGAACGGTGTACCCAAAATTGGGAACGATTTCACTGACGCCTTTCAGGGGCTCTTTTTATTAACAAGCATCACGTCCAACGCCGCAAATTATTGTTAACAATCATCAGATGACCTTTCCGGCAAGACCGTCGCATGTTTCGCCCGGTCTTCTGCGCTTTTATTCCCGTCGATCTCGCAGCGGGCACGCCCCCCTCTGCAGGATTATGTAATTCACAACGCTCAGCGATGTTCAACAAGGTCTTCCATGCCTATATCCACCGTCCGCGCCGAGGGTGGAGACATGTCAAGCACCTGTCTGTTTATCACCGATAGTTGACGAGCACAAGTAAGTATCCAAAAATGGGAACGCTGAAATGTTTCACTCTCAAAACACCTAGTCCCAATATAAATCTACTTTTTTCCTTTCTTAATGAGTGTAAGTGGCAAAAATCCTGGTAGGATAGGCACGAGAAATGATCAAAATCAGCATAAAAATTGTAAATAAGCCACACAGGGCGACCTGCATAAAAGAACTTCCCCCAAAACGATCGTGCTTAAAAATACTGAAGGCAAAAACCACGCTCATTACGCTCCTTAAAAGCAACGCTAAACAGCTAGCATCCAAATAAAATATGTCTTTCAGGGTTGATAAAATACAGCTGAATAATTTTCAACCACTTAAACTGAGTTTACAGCAGTAGTTCGGTAAATTCACTCACGTTCCACGCGGTCGTCCGCCCCGACATTAAAAGTCAACAATATTACCTCGGGACTGTCCGCGTGTTCGCTTGCATATGTCAGCATCTGGTGTCGCTAGAATGAAACTTCATAACCAGGCGAAAATTATTATTCTTGACCTCAAAATGTAAAAAGCGCTTCATTTCCCTTAAAATTGCATGTTAAATGTAGTATAACCCATGTTTTCACCATTCCGTCATTTCAAAAAATCATTAAAAATATCATTCGACGGTCAATTTCCTTGTTCAACGGTCAGATTAAAGATAATTTTATAGAGACTAAGTAGATACGTAAATTAGCGTGCACTTTTTTGAGACGTGATGCACTAATGAGTTTTAGTGGGAGAACGGCCGAAAAATTACCTTCCGTTCTCATAAATGGGAACGCCCGTTCCCATATTTGGGAACTCCGTTCCCAAAAATGGGAACGTTCCTATATTTGGGTACTCATGACCATAGTTCCACCTACTGACATCGCTCATTTACATGTCAAATTTCAGATTATTCATCAGAAAGAGCTTCAAAAAAGGCTATCGAATGCGTTTTTCTGTTGTTCTATTGTTTTATTAATTCCTGAATCATGTGCTACTTTGCCAAAATATGGTAAAAAGAAAAGTTTGACCTTTACAATTTCTAGCAACCCGACCTTTGACCTGGTCCTTAAAATTAACTTTTACTTTCTAAATATTTTACTCCTCAGCACCACTTACCATGTGCTGATAATGCTGATGTGATCCAGAATCCAGTAGCTAGGCAAGATGGAGGGGGCACGCTCGGCACCACATATCAATATTTTGTGGAGGAGGGCAGAGGCGGCAGAGCTTCCTTGGGGTCTAATGCCAATGGGGCCTCTCAACAGTGGGGCCTAAGGCCTTTGTCATTTTATGTGTTAACTATTTTTTAAAAGTTTCAGGGGTCTCATTTTGATTTAACCAAAAAGTTTCACCTGTGCAGATAAGGGGCCTTTTTCAGCCTCAAGGCTTCAGATCATGAGCCTTCTCTGAGCAAGAAGCTGTATCACATAGATTTGCTTCCCGCTTGCTGACAAGGGACTCTTAAGTTATAGCACCTAGGTTCAGGGACCTTCTGTAACCTCGAAGTTTCACCTGGGCAGATAAGGGGCCTTTTATAGCCTCCAGGCTTTAGAACCTATCAAGGGGCCTTCTCCTAGCAAGAAACTGTGTATTGATATCCTCTCTTCATGCTGACAAGGGTCTCTTGAAACTTACAGGTCTCAGTTGGCTTGATTGGCACAGTTCTTAGTACTTACAGGGGACCTCCTCATTATACCTTTTTATGCAGAAAGCATCCTTCTACTGTATTTTAGAGCTGGGATTTCAGGAATGGCAATGTCTATGGTGGCAAAGTCATTTCAATAAGAAGGGAGTATGGACCTATGCTTTCGAGCAAAAGGGCCTCTGGCATTACAGCTGGGGCAAAAGATATGCTTGCCCCTCCTGTTCCATGCCTGGACGGCAGCTGCCGCTCCTCCCCCTGGTGGTGCTGCCCCGGGGGGGGGGGGGGGCAGCGCCATACACCCCTTCATTCACCCCCATCCCCAGCACCAGCTTTGCAAGCCGGGTTAAGGTGACAGCCTGTTCTGAATTTGGCTGTTCTAGCTCTAGATGACATGGTCTGGCTATGCTGGTTCTGGCTCTGCATTCCTGACCTGGACTCAATGCTTTAGCCAATTGCCATTCACAACATTCCAGATACCCATGGTGATCTTTATACAGTTGTAAAGCAGTTACTTGAAAAGCACCACACGCATCATATGACGGTACTTAGGTGGCATTCTGGCACCAGGCAGCCCAGATTGTTACCGTCTGTCTGTATCGGGTGCCCGCCCCAAACGGCTCGATCTCTGTCCCCAGGATGGCTACCCACGTGGAGGGGCTGAAGGATGAGGTGTACCTGCCGCCAGAGGAGCTGGCCAGTGCTGCCCACTGCTCCTCCATGCAGCAGTACAACGACATGTACAAACAGTCCATTGATGAGCCGGAGGCGTTCTGGGGCCAAATAGCCAAACAGTTCCACTGGAAGACGCCGCACTCTGGCAAATTTTACGACTACAACTTTGACGCGGCCAAAGGCAAGGTCTTCATTGAGTGGATGCGTGGAGCGACGACCAACGTCTGCTATAACGCGCTGGACCGCCACGTCGAAAACGGGGACGCCGACCGCGTGGCGTTCTACTGGTGAGTTGGGAGCGGGAGCGGGCCGACCGCGTGGCGTTCTACTGGTGAGTTGGGAGCGGGAGCGGGCCGACCGCGTGGCGTTCTACTGGTGAGTTGGGAGCGGGAGCGGGCTGCGCGAGAGGCCGAGTGAAAAGCACTCTGGCGGGCCGTGTAGCTGTTGGATGCGTTGGGAGTCACATAGTTATATGCTAGTGTGCTGCTGCAGTTGGTGTTCGCTCAGACAACAGGAGAGTTCGAGTCTGGCAGTTTCCGCCCTGTGCCCCGTGTCGTCCCGCCCTGTCCGGCTCTGCACTGTCCCCTGTCCGGCTCCACACTGTCCGGCTCCACACTGTCGCCTGACCGGCTCCGTACCGCCACTGACCCTTCCCCGCCCGCTCCGCGGCCAGGGAGGGTAACGAGCCGGCCGACGACGAGGTAGTTACCTATGGCCAGCTGTTGGAACGGGTCCGCCGCTGCAGTAACGCCCTGCGCGCGCTCGGCGTGCGCCGCGGAGACCCAGTGGCCGTCTACCTGCCCATGATACCCGAGCTGGCCGTCACAGTGCTGGCCTGCGCGCGCATCGGCGCCGTGCACTCGGTCGTGGTGAGTGTGTGTGTGGGGGGGGGGAAGGGGGAGGTAATGTGAGATGATTTGGGGAGGACGGAGCGAGGGAAGGAAGGTAAATGAGTGTTGTGTTGCATTAAGCTGGGATGAGGGAAAGTGATTTGAGTCGGGTTTTAGGGGAGTTAAGATGAACAAAGTGAAGTGGAGTGAGGTATGTTGAGGAATGGGATGAAACGTTGTGTTGAGCAGTCCATCATTCACAGTGTTTGCTGTGGTAGAGCACAGGCTGGGCGTATAGTACATTGTTATTTGATGAGTGTCCGCTGGGGATTCGTGAGTGTCGCTATCTTTCAGCGGCTGCTGGCTTTCATCGGCGTTTTTTTTTTCGCGGACGCTGACCGACTGATTGTTAGTACATTGACTCGATGTCCCTGCCACCAGTTCGGCAGTTTTTCGGCGGACACTGTGTTTGATTGTTAGTACATTGACTCGATGTCCCTGCCACCAGTTTGGCGGTTTTTCGGCGGACGCGCTGGCCGACCGGATCCTGGACGCCAAGTGCGAGGTCATCGTCACCTCCGACGGCTTCTGGCGCGGCAACAAGCTGGTGCACCTGAAGGAGATCGCCGACCACGGTACGTCCTGGCCTGGCCACCGCGCCGACGTGTTGGGAGTCGAGATGTTAGAAATTAGAATGTTGCTAGACTCTTATAGAGTTTTACTCGGATTTCGGAACATTTATCTCATTGCATTATAGACTGTGCTTTTTCTGTTATAAATAGGCAAGGTGTGGCTGGGCCGGCTGGTTGTGAAGTTACCATGTTCTGCTATGTCCGGCTATGAGCGTTTTGTTTCCGGCTGTGACCGGCTCTGAGTGTGTTGTGTCCGCTGTGACCGCTGGTGACCGTGTTGTGTCCGCTGTGTCCGGCAGCGGTCCAGGAGTGCGCCGAGAAGGACCACACGGTGCGGAAGGTGCTGGTGGTGCGGCACCTGCCGCGGCTCAAGCAGCACACGGGCACCAACGGGGCCACCGACGGCGAGCAGCCCGCCAAGAAGATGGAGTACGACATCGAGGTGGGCACCGGGGTACCCTTAGTTCCGAGTGACCGCGGCTGTCGCACTGTCGGGAGCTGACACGCGCTCTCTCATTGGTTCTAGTGGTTTACAGAAATTCACACTTTCTCTGGGCACAGGTGGAAGTCGCTCCTTGGCCCTGACCTGCCGTATTGTTGCAGATTGACCCGCTGTTGGGAGACAGACTGTACTGATGTTGTCAGATACAGCTTCTCTCTGACCGTTTCTCGCTGTTTAGAACAGTATTGCACCGTCGGCTGCCATCAGTGAGCGCTGCTGGCCACTGGGACGGGGCCCAAATCGGAGCGAGAGCTGGGTTTGGGTTTACAGAGGCCATTCAGCCTCTTCTCTGTCCCTGTACAGTGTACAACATCTCTACACCCCTGTGACTGTGACTTGGACGTGCCGCTAGGCGGCCTGGAGCGGTTAGCACACCCCTGTGACTCTGCCCTGGACGTGCCGGCAGGCGGCCTGGAGCGCCGGCCGGGACGTCTGGTGGACAGACGCCATGAAGGAGGCGGCGCCCGACTGCGAGCCCGAGTGGATGGATGCCGAGGACCCGCTCTTCATGCTCTATACCAGGTGAGAGGCCTGACAACCCGCTCTTTATGCTCTATACCAGGTGTGAGGTGAGAGGCATAGTGGACCCGCTCTTCATGCTCCATACCAGGTGAGAGGCACTGACTGACCGAGCTCTTTATGCTCTATACCAGGTGAGGCACCCTTAGGATCCGCTCTTCATGCTCAATACCAGGTGAGAGTAACAGTGGACCCGCTCTTTATGCTCTATGCCAGGTGAGAGGCCCTTAAGACCCGGTCTTTACGCTCTATACCGGGTGAGAGGCCCTTATGACCCGCTCTTATTGCTCTATACCGGGTGAGAGGCGCCAAAGATCTGTTCTTCATGTCCTAAGCCTGGTGGTAACGCTCAGAAGCCGCTCAATATGCCCCAATGTCAGAGGTGTGGGTGCCAACGGCGAACAAGGTTCACCATCCGGACTCCCAGCTAATGATATCGGTAGGGCCATCACTTGCGTGACATACAAAGCCTTTGGACGAATTTTGACCAAGCCGTCTAGTGTGAGCCTGGTTGGCCATGTTTCTTACCATTACCGCTGTTTGTGTGACTGTTCAGCGGCTCGACGGGTAAGCCGAAGGGCGTGCTGCACACGACGGCCGGCTACATGCTGTACGCGGCCACCACGTTCAAGTACTCGTTCGACTACCACCCGGAGGACGTGTACTGGTGCACGGCTGACGTGGGCTGGATCACGGGCCACTCGTACGTGGTGTACGGGCCGCTGCTCAACCGGGCCACCTCCGTCATGGTGAGTCGGGGGGGGGGGGGGGGCAGGCATGTGTGAGATAGCAGACGGACAAACTGGGATATGAGGGTGACATTGGGCTCAGCAGCAGCCGGGTGTGAGATGTTGAGATGCTATGGCATATGTAATCGGAAGGTACGAGCTTTATAGGTAGTCTTTCTCTCTCCCTCTCTCTACGCACTGCGGCGTATAGAATATGCAGGCATATGATTTGTTTGTGCGTTTGCAGGTGTGTGGTCACTGGTCAGTGGGGTTCATGTGCGAATTGGTTGCAGTATGCTATAATATAGTTTTTTTATCTGAATGCTCTACAGCTCTCTACAGCACGTTTCATGGTTTCTCCCCACAACCTTTCCCTGATCGTCACCTTGAATTTTGTCTCCCCTGACCGAGCTTCCGCTGCCCGCCAGTTCGAGGGCTCTCCGTTCTACCCAAACGGCGAGCGTCCGTGGCAGATAGTCGACAAGTACGCCGTCTCCAAGTTTTACACAGCGCCTACCGCCATCCGCGCACTCATGAGACTCGGAGACGAACTGGTTACCAAGTGAGTAGACTCGGAGATGAGCTGGTTACCAGGTGAGTAGACTCGGAGACGAACTGGTTACCAAGTGAGTAGACTCGGAGACGAGCTGGTCACCAAGTGAGTAGACTCGGAGACGAATTGGTCACCAAGTGAGTAGACTCGGAGACGAGCTGGTTACCAAGTGAGTAGACTCGGAGATGAGCTGGTTACCAGGTGAGTAGACTCGGAGACGAACTGGTTACCAAGTGAGTAGACTCGGAGACGAGCTGGTCACCAAGTGAGTAGACTCGGAGACGAATTGGTCACCAAGTGAGTAGACTCGGAGACGAGCTGGTTACCAAGTGAGTAGACTCGGCGACGAGCTGGTTACCAAGTGAGTAGACTCGGAGATGAACTGGTCACCAAGTGAGTAGACTCGGAGACGAGCTGGCTACCAAGTGAGTAGACTCGGAGACGAGCTGGTTACCAAGTGAGTAGACTCGGCGACGAGCTGGTTACCAAGTGAGTAGACTCGGAGACGAGCTGGTTACCAAGTGAGTAGACTCGGAGACGAGCTGGTTACCAAGTGAGTAGACTCGGAGACGAGCTGGTTACCAAGTGAGTAGACTCGGAGACGAGCTGGTTACCAAGTGAGTAGACTCGGAGACGAGCTGGTTACCAAGTGAGTAGACTCGGAGACGAGCTGGGTACCAAGTGAGTAGACTCGAAGACGAGCTGGTTACCAAGTGAGTAGACTCGGAGACGAACTGGTTACCAAGTGAGTAGACTCGGAGACGAGCTGGTTACCAAGTAAGTGGACTCGGCGACGAACTGGTTACCAAGTGAGTGGACTCGGCGACGAGCTGGTTACCAAGTGAGTAGACTCGGAGACGAGCTGGTTACCAAGTGAGTAGACTCGGCGACGAACTGGTTACCAAGTGAGTAGACTCGGCGACGAGCTGGTTACCAAGTGAGTAGACTCGGCGACGAGCTGGTTACCAAGCGAGTAGACTCGGCGACGAGCTGGTTACCAAGTGAGTGGACTCGGCGACGAGCTGGTTACCAAGTGAGTAGACTCGGCGACGAGCTGGTTACCAAGTGAGTAGACTCGGCGACGAGCTGGTTACCGACGAACTAGTTACCAAGTGAGTGCTCCAGAAACGCCCCAATATGGAGCCAAGTAAGGAAAGAAGGAGAGATAATTCGTTTGTTTTCTCCCTTGTGCGTATCTATCCATCTTGTTCTCCGTATCCATGTATCCATCCATCTCTATGACTTTGACTCTCTTGTATCTGCAACTTTATTGATTCATGGTATTGCCGTGCCAGCGACGCTGGACGTGACAAACCTTCTAAAGTCTTTAATTGTTTTGCCTGCGGACACACTACTATCGTCTGACCTCCCCTCTCTTGCTACGGTGGGTGCCGCGAACAGCTGCTGTACCCTGACCCCACACTCCCCTCGCCGCCCGCCAGGTACAGCCGTCGCTCGCTGAAGGTGCTGGCCACGGTGGGCGAGCCCATCAACCCGGAGGCGTGGCTGTGGTACCACCGGGTGGTGGGCGACGCGCGCTGCGCCGTCGTCGACACGTTCTGGCAGACGGAGACGGGCGGCCACGTCATCACACCGCTGCCCGGCGCCACGCCCACCAAACCGGGCTCGGCGTGCCGGCCCTTCTTTGGCGTCCAGCCGGCGCTACTCGACGAACAGGGAGTGGAGATCCACGGCCCCGGAGAGGGCTACCTGGTGTTCCGCCGGCCCTGGCCGGGCATCATGCGGACCGTGTTCGGCAACCACGAGCGCTTCGAGACCACCTACTTCAAAAAGTTCAACGGGTTCTACTGCACGGGCGACGGCGCGCGGCGAGATGAGGACGGCTACATCTGGGTGACGGGACGGATCGACGATATGCTGAACGTGTCCGGACACCTGCTCTCCACAGCCCAGGTGAGTGGCAAACGGCTATCGTCAACCGCGTGATGAAGATTAGACCGGTCGTCAGGTGTCAGGTGTGGAAGAAAACTGGCCGGGTGCGTGATTGGGGACTTGTGCCGGTCCCGAGCGAATGCATTTTTGCACCAACCCGGATAGGTGCTGGTGTTGGGTCCGCCCTGACCCAGGCTGTGTGTCCCGCCGACTGAGAGCCGCCCCCGTCCCGTGCTCGGATCGAGCGTGTTCCCGCCGACTGAGAGCCGCTCTGTTCTGCGGTAGATCGAGTGTGTTCCCTCTGACTGAGAGCCGCTCTGTTCTGCGCTCAGATCGAGTCGGCACTGATCGAGCACCCGTCCGTGGCTGAGGCGGCCGTGGTGGCCGTGCCGCACTCCATCAAGGGCGAGGCCGTCTACTGCTTCGTCACCAACAAGCAGGGCACCGAGTGGAGCGACCAGCTGAAAAAGGACCTCATTCTCAAAGGTGGGTGCCGCCTGCCGGGAGGGAGAGGAACGGGTGGGAGACGGGAGCAGGGTGTGAGGGCGGAGTCCTGCGATTGAAATAATTACCTAATTAAAGGCAGTATGGGAGATGAATATTAACTTGAGGAAGTTATTCATTATCGTTGTGAGCCGATGACCTCAGCAATCCAGGCGCACGGAAACTCAGGAAATGAGAGCTGCCAACGATATGCCTCAATGGCTTTCAATGACATGCAGGCGAGCTCACATCGCAGTGCAAGCGTTTCACTTATTTTGCTGCTGGGAAAAGCTCAGACGTCAATAACTAACGGCGACACCAGTCGTCTCAGCCGGTGGCGGGTCTCAGCGAGCAGTAGCTGACCCCTCTCCCCTCCCTCCCCGCCCGACGGCAGTACGCGAGCGGATCGGTGCGTTCGCGGCGCCCGACTACCTGCAGAGCGCGCCGGGCCTGCCCAAGACGCGCTCCGGTAAGATCATGCGGCGCGTGCTGCGGAAGATCGCCGTCGGAGACCGCCAGCTGGGTGATGTGAGTACGATGGCCGACTCGACCGTCATAGACGCACTGTTTGAGCTGCGCAGCGTCCACCTCAAGTAGCGGCGGCGGCGTGGCGGGCGGGCCGCCCCCAGAGCCACTGCTGCAGCAGTGTGGAGGGCCGGCCGTCCCAGAGCCCCAGTAGCGCAGTCGGTAGCGGGCGGGCGGCGACGGTAGCGGGGTGGTGCGGCGGCGCGGCTGCCGGTGGTGCCTCAGTGATGTGGTGCGCCGTCCCAGCGCCTCAGTAGCGGGCGGCAGCGGTAGCGGGGTGGTGCGGCGGCGGCCCAGCTGCCGGCGGCGCCAGGGAACCATAACCCGGTGATGGGGCTGATCAAAGGCGGCCCGGCGCCAGGGAACAGCTGCCGGCGGCGCCAGGGAACCATAACCCGGTGATGGGGCTGATCAAAGCCGACCCGGCGCCAGGGAAAGCTGCCGGCGGCGCCAGGGAACCGCTGCCGGCGGCGCCAGGGAACCATAACCCGGTGATGGGGCTGATCAAAGCCGGCCCGGCGCTCTTTTCTAACGTACAAACGGTGTCCAGTATTGGTGTATCACCGACGGCGACCACGGCTCAAAACGCAGCAGGTGCCGAGGATCACGAGTGCAGTGTATTTTTTACGGCTCTTTTTGGACGAGCTGTGCGCCAGAGATGTATATCGGGTGTTTGTGAGACGAAAGAGCGGCTCATTTCGCGAGCGTCATTTGGATGCGCACACGCGTCGTGGAACAAACCTATGTTTTATACCATTGTGGTGGCCAATTTTGTTTGAGACGGTCGATTTCGGCTGGCGTATGGATGAACAAAGAACATGTTTTTTTCGGGCGAGACTATTTTAGACTCGCTGCTGCAATACCTCCATGTTTTACCGAGCGTGGCTGGCGTGCCTTGGTGAGCCTTGGCTGGATCATGGCGTGCTTGGATTATGCGCGCGTGTGAGAGCTTTGCTGCCTGAATTCAGACAGTATAGATATGTTTGTGCAGAGACGTTTTACTAGATTTAGTGGTCGACAGTGGTGGTAGGAATAAAGTGCTTTGAGATGATCAGACGACTTTCTTCAAGGAAAAATATTAAATGAAAATGAAGGTGCCCATAATTTGTGGCCTACTGCCTCGCAGTCAGATGAACCTGAACGGGCACAGAGCTACATAAGTACATGTAGCTAAATGACATTGACAAAATATGTGCATTTATTCGTCATGCTTTACCAATTATTCACATGCAGGTATACATACATACATCTGGTGTAAAACGAACGGACGGAGTTTCACAGAACATCGTACATTCACGTACTGATTGGACGGGTTCGTGGTCTTTGCTCGCGTTCATTGCTAAAGAACTATGTTGGTCTCAGCATGGGTTGAGCATTCGTCGTAAAAAGAGCTAGCGTGCTCTTCGTACACAGTGGTCAGTACGCTAAAATATCTGCCGGTGGTTCAATGTCATGTTCAAAGAGATGCTTGGCGTTCTCGATGACTACAGCTGACTTCTTTCCTATTTAGAGGGTACAAATGCTTATGATCAAGCCAGGAGTAGACGCGTTGGAAACATACGTGAACTACTTTATGTTATCATTCACAAGGGTTCAAAGTCATCAAAAAGTTTCAAAAGTTGCACTTCCTCACGCTGGTCCTGTACTTTTTTTGCCCACATTTGCACGTCACTCAGGGGACGTGCCCCGGTCTCTTTCAGTCACGTCCCATGTTCTCACTGACTCACGTCGTGACTCGGGAAGGCCGCTCAAAGTGTCACCTCACCAGTCGCTGGTATTGGGGACGGGTTACGGTGTGGTCCAGCGTGGGGGACCTCACGCTCTTGCCTCACTACCGTGCCAGCCGTTGAGTCGCGGGTCCCGGCGGCTTCTGAGAGGGCCCGGAGCCACTGTCTTCAGCAGTGCTACCTGGTTCCGTCCGTCCCGCGGCCGTCTTACTATGCAGACCATCGCTGCACCATCACTTGTCCCACATATTCCCGTCGCAAAAACAATTCACACAGCCACGACGGTACTCTGTCGCGCCTAGCGACCCTATATCTCTGCTGCTGTTGGTGTCCCCTAGTACGGGTGGCGGCTGGCACTATACCCGCTCCGTCTCCAGGCCCGGGTTATCGTGACCATGCAGGTGCGGCCGGCCATGTACCTGGTGCTGGAGGGCCAGCAGCCGGCGGCGGGCGTCCCGGTCGCCGGGGCCCCAGCTGGGCAGCGGACGGAACGCCTGGCCCGGCTTCTGTGGACCGGAGGAAGGGGAGTGCGTCAGCCGAGACACTGGGGAGGACCACTGCCGGGGAAGTACTACAGGCGGGATACCTCGAGCTTCTGGCTTCTTGCGCCTGACGTTCTTATTGCTTGAAAACTTGTACCATCTGAATTTGAATTTGAAGGTGAAACTGAATGCTTAAGCAATACTCCAGCGTGCCATTATTGCCACTCGTACACACATTTAACAATAAACTGCCGGCCAGCCGACTTCCAACCATTCTATACCGTATTAGCTCCACCATTCCCTGTTCTCTCCCAGCTCCGCCACTCACCCATTTGCAGAGGTAGTAGAGCACCGTGAGCAGCGCCCAGAGGGGGATCTGCACCAGCGAGATGCCGGCCAGGCCCCATCCCACGTACACAGCCCACGCGGGGTACTCGTAGTCGCCGTACTTGGGTGGCTCGTACTCGTACATCGAGTACGCAAAGATTGCCTGCCGAGCACACACAGACACACGTTAGGTAACGGACGCCTGTGCAGAAGCGTAGGCAGTGTCTGCCTCAGTCGGTATCAGGTCGTATGTTGTTGATTGGGAACTTTGATCGAACCAGATACTAGTTACATGTCAGAAAAAAGTGTGAATGGCTTCTCATAACTCTCCTATAGTAAAGAAAACATAAACAAGGGCAGGTAATGACGTCAGCTTGTGTGCTTCAATTTTTTTCTTTCAGTGCTCAATACTTAGTGGAATGTCACGCACACGAAATATCAGCTTCACAATCACCAACATTTTCCAGAATGGTAATGACAACCTGGTATAATTTGACAGCAGATGCTGACCACTGGCTCTCTCAGTATCACCGAAGCACTCACTAGTCACCACCCAAACCGCTTGGGTTCTCACCCTCAATCCCTCAATCAGCCTGTATAATCCCTATCCCCTGAGCACTCACCGCCAGCATGACGGGCGCCACGAAGGCCCAGCAGACCTTCCAGAAGAGGCTGGGCCGGAAGCCGACCATGAAGTGCACATTGTCGGCGAACCGGCGCACGCCATACACCCACATGATGCCGACCAGCTCGAACACGGCGATGACCATGACGCCCAGGCCGCCGAACGTATCCATCAGGTGCAGCACGTACGGACCCGCCTGCGGGGCGCGGAACGGGGGTCAGCCGTCTGGAGTCAGCCTAGATGAGCTGAAGGTGAAGTTTCTTCCATTCGGGTGGGTGGAGATATCAGACTATATACTCGCCCACAACTGATATCTCTAACCGCCCCTACGGGTTACCGAAAAACTCGCTTCTTCGTCGCTGCTCGGTATTTTAGTAACTCGCTCGGTAAAAATATCCTCATCTTCCACTCGGGGCCGTGAAGAATCATCTAATTAGATCTCACCTGTGAGACGCACGGCAGGCCCATCAGGAAGCAGCTGCTGGAAGCGATCAGCGTAATCAGCGCCTTGCTCTTCCGCGTGGACGGGAACGCGTCGTAGATGGCCGTGGTGACCGTCTCCAGCAGAGCAAACTGTCAGCACAGATCAGGTCAAGTCAGGTCAGATCATGTGACAGTCCTCGGATGACATATTATATGTATAATCATTATCGGTTAGTGGGCTGTAGACATCGTCAAAAGCCATGGAGTGGCATGCAATAGCGTGGCGTCTGAATTTATGCGTTTTATTACGTTTTTTTCCGGCCTATATAATGTAAGAAGGGCGAATATCTTTATCTCGGCGCCATCGCTCCTCTCTATATCTCACACGGCCGACCCCGACTGACCTCCGAGTCCAGTCCGAGTGTGTAGAGCATGAGGAAGAAGAGGACGGACCAGAGCTGCCAGCCGGGCACGGCGCCGATGGCCTCCGGGAAGGCGATGAAGGCCAGGCCCTGGCCGGACTTGACCACCTCGTCCACCCGGACGCCGGCCGACTGCGCCATCGAGCCCATGATGCTGAACACGGCCACAGAGGCGATGATGGACGTGATAAAGTCCAGCGAGGAGATGAGCATGGCGTCGATGTGCACCTTGTTGTTGAACTTGTTGTACGAGCCGAACATGATGATGCCGCCCCAGGAGACGCTGAGAGAGAAGAACATCTGCTCGGCCGCCTTCTGCCACACCTGCCGACGGGAGAGGGGGAGAGAGAGGGTCAGAGCGGGGGTGAGGAGGCGAGAATTCGAGAATGCGGGCAGTCTAGTCAGTTAATCATGATCAGTATCGTGGCAGTGAAGTAAACACGACACCCTCCTGACAGACGAACTTATCAAAACAATATCTTAAAACGGGGCTGAGGACACTGTGGACACCAGCGACGGGCGCTATTCCGTAAAAACCTCGAGCACCCAGCTCACGGGAATTCAGTGCGTAAACAAGACGCCGGGCACACATCAAGACTATCGAAGACTATCACCAACCCAATGATGAATACGCCGGGCGGCCTGGGCACTCGGCACTCACGTTGATGTCCTTGAGTTTCTCCCAGTCGGGGATGAAGAAGAACTTGACGCCGTCAATGGCGCCGGGCAGGGTACAGCCGTAGGCCAGGATGGCGATCAGGAAGGCGTACGGCACCGTGGCCGTCACGTACACCACCTGAAACATCATATCGGTGTCACATTGTGCCAGCGACACACTGTGATGTACGGCACCGTGGCCGTCACGTACACCACCTGGAACGTCATAGTGCCACTCCAGTGTCTAACGTCACATCGTCACGCACTGATCCGTGACGCGTCACATTAGTACGTTAGCCTGTAGCCGCTGGATGATGTTGAGCCGTGTGCCATCTTTGATATCCGAGGGAGATTACCGGGTGTGTTATGGGTCTAAAGACTCGTGCCCGTTGTCGTGCGTGTGTCCCTGGCATCCGTTTTAAGTGCAGCCTAAGCAACGAACCTTATAATAAAAAGCATTACTTTGTAATGATAGATAAATGTCAGTGTTTAATGACAAGGTGCACTGCCTACTGAATAAATGGGCCTACATTTTCACTCATCAATAGATCATTCGCAGTGAAGAGACAACCGAAACATGTTTGTTAACCCGCGCCCCGCTGGGCTATTCAGCCATAGGCGCCCTGCTGGGGGGGGGGGGGGGGCAGATTCTTCCCCCCCCTGTCTAACTTCCGAACCGATGGTCGTAGAAAGACGGGAAAAACGGCAATCGAAAGCTCTCAACAAGGCGGATCTTAAGAGCCCTTTTTTTTGCTTAAGTAGGTCAGAGGTCAGGTCAAGGTCAGGTCAAGGGTACAAAATGCAAGTTTCCACAGTATCGGCCTTGCACCGTAGTTGTCGAAGAATGGACTGAGACTGATTGCCCAAAACGTGTTCTTAGACTACCAAGACAATATTCGTTGCATACAATGTCATTCAAAGGTCAAGGTCAAGGTCAGGTCAGGTCAGGTCAGGTCACCAAAAACAAAATATAGAAAAGGGCATGTGCGACACATGTTTTATGGGTCATTTTACGCATAGAATTCAATAGGCACACTCAATAAGTGATATGGACCACCTCTGGATGACTTTCAGGTCGAGGTCAGGTCAAGGTCAGGTCAAGTGAGGTCAAATTTTGAAGTTGGTTGTTAAGGCCTAAAAAGGTGGCTATCTGATGCAGTTTTTCACGGCGAATCGAATGGTGCTATTTTTGTTTCCGTGCGAGGTCTGAAACATCCAAAAAAATCATTTTTCAAAAAAAAATTGTGTGTCATGACGTCATAAAATTTTGAATAACTCCCACATTTTTGAACCGATTCTTCTAAAAATTGGTATGTATGTGCACATAGACTTCTCTGACATATATTCCGGTTTTTTCGATGCAAAAATTTTGGATATTATAATTATTTTTCCAAAAAAGTCAGTTTTTTAAAGCCATTTGGGCCAAAATCCAAAATTTTCAAAAAATCGAGATACGGAGATAGCCATTTGATAGACAAAGTAGAATCACGTATAACATTTTTTGTTACGTGTTTATTCCTTTAAAAATGAAGATGTTAGCGGCGTTTGAAATTTTGCCGTTTTTGAGGCGAAAATGGCGAACATGACGTCACTAAAACGTCAATTTCTCAAAAAATTTCCGACGGATTTCGCTCAAATTTTCAGGGAACGTGTCAAATTGATGTATGATAAGGTACTGAAAGTTTAACGTCGCTGGCGTAACGCGTTTAGAAGTTATTGGCGAAAAACGGGAGGGGGCAGATTCTGCCCCCCCAGCGGGGCGCGGGTTTTAACCCTCGCGGGCCCGGGGGGGGGCGTTTTTCGCCCCCCTGGCGAATATTTGCGATAGCTCCCGAACGCTTAGGGATAGGAAAGCTAAACTTTCGGTACCTTTTCTCTCATCAATTTGACATCTTCTGAAGTAAAAAATTTCGAGCTAGTCCCATTGATGACGTCACAGGGTCGATTTTTCTAGACGCCTGCATGGCAAACTACGGCATCACAGACGCGAACTTCAAATAGCTGCCAAAATAGAGTTTTAGAGATAAAGACAAATTACGAGCACGGTTGTGTAGCGTTTGACCTAGAGAAAAATAGAAAAATAGTTTCGGTGACCTGAGGTCACAGGTCAGGTCAACGACGCCGAGCTGTGGTTTTAGTTTTTCGCAAATTACTTCGACAAAAATGGTCCTAGAGCTACGGCATTGGTACCATCGCATTCGCCTTGTCAAGCCGCGTCGAATGATATATATTGTATTTGGAAAAGGTCAAGTTTTATGTTGACCTCATGTGACCTCGAATGACCTCTGGTTGACCTTGACACATGAAAGGTCATTTATGATGGATTCGTACCCGCTGATCACGAATCTGGCATCTATTTTCCTCTAAGCCTTCATTTAGAGCCTCTGGATGGCAAAATTGTCTTATTTATTATTACCAACTTGAATCAGTGAAATAGCCTCTAGCAAGGATACTCTTCAGTGACCTTGACCTTTGAGCAGCCTTGTATCGTAAGATGAACCACAAATAGGGACCTGATAAGCCTCAAAACATTTCAAAACATCTTGGAAGTTAGCAGGCAAGATGTACGAAAAAGTGCAAAGTTTGAGATCAATTTTAAGCATGACCTTGACCTTGACCTTTGATTTTGAGCACATTTTCGGAATCCTCAGATTCTCTTCTTTCGTTTGACACCCAATTTTGCCGGTTTTATGCATCCTGCCGTCGTCTAGAACGCTTACTTTGAGATCACTACACATGTGTCGGTTTTTGCCTTTAACCTTGACCTCTGACCTTGAAAATTGACCTGAGGTCAAAAATTGTAGGTGCTTTAGAATCGTCTCGTAAGGACCTTTCGTTTGGTATCGCTTTTGTTTCCGTAGCTCCCTTATTTACGGAGTTAGACAGGGGGGCGAAAAAAGCCCCCCGGGCTGCGGTGGTTGGGATTACCCCCGGGCCCGGCCGGGTTAATCTTTGACATACCCGATTTATATTTAATGGAATAACCTTCTGTTCAAAATTCTAAAAATTGTCAAAAGTTACCAAAAACACTTGAATATATTTCGGAGGCGTTCCTTCATCGGTTCAAGTGAAGGAACCTGGTTCATCACTTGAACCGATGAAGGAACGCCTCCGAAATATATTCAAGTGTTTTTGGTAACTTTTGACAATTTTTAGAATTTTGAACAGAAGGTTATTCCATTAAATATATTACATATAATGCTGTTCACCAGAGTGCTTCGTCATTTGATTGCAATACCCGATTTAGTTTGCATCGCTACCGGCAGCCGCAAGCCACAACGTTAGTTGACAGATTGGTGTCCAGCTGAACAGTCGCTCCTGGTTCAGACTTGGCCGGGTGCCCGTGTGAAATGGCACCTCAAGTAGCACGTGCGAATCACGTGTTCTAGTGCACTGTCCGGCACGTCTAACACTGGGGGTTCCCACGATTTCAAAGCCATGGGACCGGGTAACTTACCGACTGCATTGCAGTAGCACTTAGGTACTGCTGCAATTGCCATTGCAATGGTACTGCCGATATCAAACATACACAAACTTCACAAACAAGTCAACGTAGCTGTCTCGCCATATCATCGTTTTTGTTTGTCGGATCAATGGTACACGTTCATTCCTAAAACCCCCCGAACATTACATTCAAGAGACATGTCAACAAGCGTCGTAGGAGACACCTGCGCACGTTCGTCTGCTGAGAGACCACCCTGACTTCAGTACCCACTCCTGTTGCCTACCTTGCCGGAGCTCTTGACGCCTTTCATGAGGCAGAGGAAGACGATGATCCAGGAGAGTAGCAGACAGAGCGCCAGCTGCCAGTTGATGTCGCCAATGTCACCCGGCGTGGCCAGACCGTCCGGCTTCAGACGCAGCACATAGTTCCTGCAGCGGACAGAGGGCAGGTGTCATGTGATAGAGCTAGTAGGTGTTGCAGCGGAAGACTCGAGTATTATTCTATTTCGGTACAATTTGCCGTCAGCAGTAGCACTTATCAGTAGACCAAGCGCCGCAAAGATACAAAAGGCAAAACGCTTGTTTAATTTTGTGCATGTGTCATAAATTGTCTGATGACATCGTTCTCACAAAACCCCTAGCCGGCTGATGTGAGCCGTATCAGCGTCCCTCCCGGCCGGCGGAGGGCACCCACTTGAAGTACTGCTCGGAGGCCAGCTCCGTCTTGGTGTGGCAGTCCACCTCGGGGACGAAGTCGGTGATGTTCTTGGAGAGCAGATACTGGCAGGCCGGGTACGAGGCGTTCCGCACAAAACACTTGTCGTCGGCGAACCACTCTGCGGGCAGACGTCGCGAGATCAGTCAGTCGATGGAAGTTTCGGACAAAGTTCAGCCAACAGTGATCATTTAGGATCGCCGATCGGTTTTGCTATTGCATATCGCTGCGTAATGTGTATGGAATATGGATGTTGACATAGTGAATTGTTTCAGCCACTGAATCCCAACAGTCACGTGCACAGTCACGTGCACACGTGCGCTGTGAGGAGACGGTGCCCGGTGATTAGCGAGCGGTAGAGACCGGCTCGGACGGCTGGCGGGAGGGGAAGGCCGTTACTCGGGGGGGGGGGGGGGAGAGAATCACCAAGGTAATCCGGTGGTGACGCGCTACAGACAGAGTTGTCGGAGCGACACAGCGCAGCCGACAGACGGCGGGGATGTAGCGGAAAGGAGGAGGCACACCGGGGACACGAAATGGATCATCCGAGAGTGCGAGTGAAGGAAGACCACGACGTGAGCATGTGAACGCGAGATGGATACGGCCGGGGCGGCAGGGATGCTGTGAAAAACAAAGGCGGGAAGAAAAAGCGTGAGAGAGAGAAATACATAACTAAAAAGTTGATAGAGCGAGTCAAAAAAGAAGAGAGAGAGAGAGAGAGAGAGAGAGAGAGAGAGAGAGAGAGAGAGAGAGAGAGAGAGAGAGGATAGAGAGATAGAGAGGAGTCTCGTACCATGGCACTCGGTCCAGGGCGCCGCTCCTCCCTGGAAGGAGGCGAACGTGAAGAAGAGCGTGTAGGCCATGATGACGTTGTAGTAGATGGCCACGATGACTGACATCACCACCATGGCCGCTCCCACGCCTGGAACAGGGGACCAAAGTGCGCTGCGGTCAGGCGGAAGGGGCTGGGAAGTGGCCAAAACACGTCTCAATGGCGTAAAATAGGAGACAGTCACACCAGTGATCAGAGGAACCATCAGCATGTGGTAAAGGTATTAACTAGTTAATATAGCGTGATATTATGATATCCTTGCATTTGCCAACTCCATACTTCTCGTCCATAATCTCGTCCATGCGGCCCGTATCCCAGGTCGAGATGCTATCTTTCTGTGCATAATTGCAGTCTCCAAACGGCTGGGATGCTGTTTCATGTGATGTTGCAGTCTCCGATGTGACTTTAGGATCCCGTCTTATGTGATATTGCAGTCTCCATAGTGACTGCGATGTTGTCTTGTGTACTATTGCAGTCTCCGTAGTGGCCAGGATCCTGCCTTATCCGGTAATGCAGTCTCCGCAATGGCTGGGATACTGTCGTATGTGATATTGCAGTCTCCGTCTCCACTGTGTTCAACATTGAGAGAACAAAACATATGGATACCCACACCGTGATAATGAGGTGTTGTGATATGGTCTTTGCTTTGTATAAGTTGGTATTTACCGCCGCAAACGAGGTCGATTTTTCCATCCCACAGCACGGTTGTATGTAGGTACAATTTGTACATAATCACACTTTACGCGGTGACGGCCACCCACAAGGCCCCGCCTCGGCCGCGCCGGAGCAGACAGAACCTTGGGGGCAGACATGGCCCGGACCGATACTGGCGTGCGACAAACAAGATCACGGCGCGACAAATACGCTTACGGCGCTCTGCGGGCGGCGCGTGACGCGCCCTGGCGTGACGAGAGTGGCGCGTCGTGACGCCGAGTACGCTGCGCTAGAAACGGAAAGCGTGCTGCGGCGCTCCACAGCTCGCGTTTTTGTAGCGATGATGAGGAGATTGCTGCTGTGTGCAGCAAATGGCCGAGAAAGGCAGGCCGTGATTGTTTTTAACCGAGATAGTGTGGATAGGGGTGATAAAGCCGATCATTTAGGCGCAATTTATCTGCAATATATCTTATAACGCTTCTCAAAGACGACGTTGATACGTTCTTAATGCGGTAAAAGATAAATGAAACGAGCTATAATAGGAGCGCGGTTTTTACCAGATGTTTACTCCAAATAGACATAAATGTATTGAAAGCACAAACCACCACACTAACACGGTTCTAACTTTCTTCAACTGCATTCTAAGAAAAAAATATAATATTTTGCAAATGTTCGGTTAGGTGTGTGGTCAGCTAACTATTACGCTGATTAATTTTATCTTATCATGACTGACATACGCTTGCCAAAGCCACCACAAGATGACAATCAAAAAACTTCCTGAGGTGAAGCTGCTGCCCATTGCGTTTTCAACTCTCTGCCTGAAGCTGCTGCCATGAAATTCAACCGTGAATGTCATGTATTGGGACCCGTCAGCTCTTGGTACTCACGACCCGGTAAAGGTCAGTTTACGCTAACTCTTCTGGCCGCTGATTATTCGTTATAACGTCACTCAGATTGGCTCGCTCACAGCGAGTGGTCGCGGTTCACCGGGCCGATCACCGCCCGGTCACCGCCGGGCAGTGACGGACGGTCCTGCCGGGTGGCGGCGGCCACCGTCACGGTTCGTGACGACCGTAACGCCCCGTGAGCGGCCGCACCGCGCTCCCACGCGACAGTGAAACCCCGGCGGCCGCCGTCCGGCAGAGTGGGAGGGTGGGGAGGAACCCGGCGCAGGGCAGCGGCGCTCCAGAGCCAGCCATCTTGATCTACCCATCACAGGGTCTGCCCGAGAGGCCGCCCCTCTGCTCTGGACTGGTGTGGTATGGTTGGCCATCCCTCCGCGGCGAAACTAGCTCAAGTTAAATGTCAATCAGGTTCACGCTTGCACGCTTGCCTGCCAAATTTCCTGGAGTTGCAAGACGTGACAACGGAATAGACCATTTTGTGTTAATGATCGCTGGTTTGGACCAAACAATCAAATCCGTACATGGACGTAACGAGAACTCGAATTGAGCCGAGCAGCATCCGTTGTCTCACAGCTTCAGACGACCATGGTTATAGGTACAGACGATTGTCTAATTGCTACATATTGCCACAGATGTCCGATTACATCCGTGACAATACTCTGTAGTATATGAACATGCAGGTAGCGTGCTGCTCTGGGAATAAGGATACGAGGACCCAATAGTCAATAATATACCCCAGCAGCACACAATTCTCGGTCCAGCGCCTTACTCTGACCCGTAACGTGGCCTCACTGACCCGTCGCCTCACTCTGCCTCAATGACTCAGCGTGACTCGGCGTGACTGGGCGACTCACCTTTCATGACGGGCGCCATCCTCCACATGGAGACGGGTCCGAGCTGGCTGTACTGGCCGATGGCCGTCTCCATCAGGTACATCGGCTTCCCCACCAGAAACAGAATGATGATGTACGGTATCAGGAACGCGCCTGTTGACGGAGAGAAGCGGGGATGGGATGAGGGGTGGGGTCAGACACTTAGACCAATCACACACTACGGGTGGTCTACCCACCAGAAACAGAATGATTACGTACGGTATCAGGGACGCGCCTATCGGTATCAGTAAGTGCGATATCAGGAACGTCCCCTCTCAGAATTCAAGTCCCCTTTGGTGAATATCATCCGGGTCCTTAAATTGCTTTCGAAATGTTCTTTCTCCTTGAATTATCACTTTGTGACTTAAAGGGCAATAGATATAGCGACAGTGAAGGTTCTGCACATTGTGGCGTGACTGGCCGTCCGCTGGAAATGTCATAAACGGCTGCGGTTCTCGTGAGCCGGCGTTTGACAAGGCCGCCGAGTTTGGAGGCGGCAGCGGCGGGTGGGTATACAGGGGATGTTTATGGCCCACCGCACACTGGGCCGATCGCCAGGTCTAGCACGACATGGGTAAAAAAATCGAACTTTGTGGATGTGCAATGAAACCTATACCAATTTGTTCAAAAATGATCATACTACATTGCTGTGGTCTTTGTTTTCCAACACAATTGCTATTTCATGGCGAAAACTCAGCTTAAACACGAACTTCGGAATCGTTTGGACCGAACTCGTCCCCCGCACTCTTCGACAACGTATCTTTGATCCACGAAAACAATCACAATTTGAGGATGAATTCCACATTTAAATACATCAAACGATAGCTCCGGGTCTGCAGAACACACATAACCACATGAAAATGGCGAGCTCTTACTTGGTTATGATGTATTGGCACCGCAAAGATTTAAAGACGAAAATATAATTTCACATAATTGATGTCACACACAAATAGACTTTTAAAAAAAGTACCGCAGAGTACCGCTTCGAAAATCTCGCTGCATGTCAATGATTTATTGCGCTACAAGATCCAACAGTCATTTTTTGCGACTTTTTGCGACTTTGGATGTAGCAGCCAAACATCAACCCGCGCCGGACCGGTGCTCGGCGTCAAACGCGCCGGGCCGGGAGGTGTTGATTGAACACTCCCCTTCTAACTCGGCTCTTGGGCCACATAGCGACACGTAGTAAGTGACATTCGAAAGAGCGCCCGAAATTCCAGATGGAGTAATTAGTCATTTCTAGGTCAGGTCAAAGGTCACGTCACCAGAGGTCATCAAAGGTAGAATGTTGCATATATCAACATTTCTCGAAAACCGACCCTTACCTCGGGGACCAATAGAGCTACATCGTCGCGGAAAAGTGCATTCAATTGCTCTTTTAGCGGTCTTTCTGAAATAAGCCCTCAGATTTGGCTTAACCCTCGCCGCTAGTGGTGTTTTTCCAGCCGCGAACGTATAGAAGGGGTCCGTTGGACCCCCCCCGCCGCTTCGCCCCTGATCGAGCTAGAGCTTATCGGAAAAGACGAGCGTGTTGCCCGTGACAAGAGGAAGCTGATGATACCCAATTGTAAGGTCCTAGGTCATCGATTGACCTTCCAGGTCAGGTCAATGACCCAAAAGTCGGGAAAATCGGGACCTGTTAGAACGTCGTAAAGGGTGGCTGCTATGTTTTTTTTTTTGGGGGGGGGGGGGGGGGGAGGTGCTGATCACGAATATAATGTTATTTACGATCATAGATGATGTCTTCATACATTTAGGTCAGGTCGGGTCAGGTCTGGTCAGGTCAACCAGTAAGGGTTTTGCCGGGTATTTGCAGTAGGTGGCAACCGCCTCTGACAGCTTTGTAACATGTTACGAAAGCACCAAAGCTACATAGTAAATGTTCAAATGGTTGCTAGATTCGAATTCAGCTCCAAAAACTAGCCTAGAAACATGTAAAACTCGAAAAAGTGAACCAAGGTCATCAAAGGTCAATGACCTTACCTGACCTTCTGGTGACCTTGACACCCACCCTAATGCATGGGAGCAGCATAATAACCCATGTTTGAACGCTTTAAGCCAAGAAAAGACTGCAAACACGCGGCTAATGCGAGCCGACATACGCTGAATCGCGATTCCGACCAAACATGGTCTCAAAAGAAGGTCACAGGTCAAAGATCATTAAGGTCAGGGTCATGAAATTTTCAGGTTAGCCGTAAAAGTAGTTATCGCGAGGGTACTAAAAGTTTCGTTGCGATCGGCCGCTTTTTACGCGAATTACTCGCGAAAAACCAAGGGTTCCGTTCGAAGATTCAGGTCCTGTCGCGCTACCGGGTGTTCATTAATGAATGGAATAAAGTAGCTACGTCACGTGATAACAATAAATCACGTGAGCGCATTTTTTCCCTTGTAAATATGAAACATAGGCTTTATCATTTTTTAATACATGATAACTTTAATCACAGCATTATCCAAACGCTTATGAATGGCTCTGGTTTCGAAGAGCCCAAATCGGCACTTCAAGACAAACTCGCCGTTCAATTATGAACTAGCGGGTTGGGTTGTGGAGAACTGTGCCGGGTTGGAAAGTCTTACCGTGGTTAGACGGGCTTTCCGCCTTAAGCTTTCTCCTAGAAAACCAGCAGCAATACCACATACCACATCTGAATGCTTTTCAGCGTTCAGTGGAGAGATTTAGGATGGTTGCAACTTGCAGCGACACGGCCATGTGTGCGCTCCGGGCGCCAGCCGATGACCCCTGGTGAAATGGAAAAGGTCAAGGATTTCTTCCGGAAAAATGCCACAGCTCATGCTCGGCAGGCGTGCGAAGAGCTTAAAATGTCCATTGGAAAGGTATGGAAGATCCTGATTCTGTCATGATTGGCCTCCCTCGATCGAAGTTCAACGATCGGATCATCTCGCGCGGAGGTACCCATCTGCACTGGCCCGCATACAGTCCCTACCTGTCCTGCCTGGATTTCTCGTTCTGGACCCAAGCTTTGAATCGCGTGGTAGAATCGGAGCCGGAAACAATCAAAGAACTGAAAAAGGTCGTGGAGGACTTCGCCCGAACATAAGCGAGGAGCAGATGAGGAAGATGGTCCGGCACACACAGCGCCGGGCAGAGCCGTGCGTGGCGGAGTGAAGGTGTTACTTTGAGCACTTCCTGTAGGAGACACAAGTGGCAAGCGGTGATCGCGATGATGTCATCATAAATGATAAACCCTCTTGAAAATGCATTGTGTGATTTGATAACGTGAGATGAATATATATCTTTCTGGTGCCTACCTACTTTATTCCATTCATTAATGAACACCCGGTAGAATGGCATATCGGCCCACTGTGCACCGGCCGACCCTGGGCCCGGCCCACCCACACACCGGTACTGACGGATAGCGAGCCCAGTATCGGGGGGTTACCGCACCGGCGGCAGCTGTTTGTGTGTTGATCTTTTGCGTCGCAAAGTTCACAGGAGAAGTGTCTGTTCTAAAATATGACTAACAAATCGGTAAGAACCACAAGACATGCCAATGAAAAGGATTCCCCAGAAATTTTCTGATGGTATGAAAAGCCTCATCCATAAAAATCCATGTTACCCTCAAGTCTCGTACTGCTCAGTTTTTGCCCTTATAGGTACTGCAACAGAAACAGCCAATGCCGATGACATTTGCTTGATAACGGCATACCGGATATACTGCTTCAATAAAAATGCGTATACCTGCCGTCGTGAGTGAATAACAAGGCGGCTAGTTTGGTAACCATGACGTCTGTTTAGCGTGTACCGGAACTAACCACCGGCCGCGGCACGGTCCAGGGTAGCCGAACCGCGGCCGTTTGGTGCTGTCCGCCGGCCGCCGATGTTCACCAAGGTGTAACGAGATTTCTCCTTTTTACCGGCGCCCGTTCCCACGGCTCTGGAAACGCTACGGCGATGCCGGCGGACACCGGCTGGGTGCCGGGGACGGCCGAGGGGAACAGAGGACGGGACTGCTCCAGGACGTCGGCAATATAACAGAAGTGTGGTGATCTGGTGGGTCTGTATAGTGTACATACGAGGGGGTATCGAAAAGTTCTGATCATCACATCTCGTATATGTACCCTGTATACCCGAGCCCGTATTAAAGATAGTGTTTTTTTTTTTTTTGCTATCAAATATCTACCTATATTTTTGGTTACGCCTTGCTTGATAAGATTTAATCCCATTAACCCACTTTATTTATATCTACACGCGCACCAATAACGGCTTGGAGAACATTAATCACGCACCCACGACTTAGCGGCAATGTTTTCTTTTCTTCTGCTTCCCCTGACCTCCTTTCCTCACATTCCTCTCTCTCTCTCTCTCTCTCTCTCTCTCTCTCTCTCTCTCTCTCTCTCTCTCTCTCTCTCTCTCTCTCTCTCTCTCTCTCTCTCTCTCTCTCTCTCTCTCTCTCTCTCTCTCTCTCTCTCTCTCTCTCTCTCTCTCTCTCTCTCTCTCTCTCTCTCTCTCTCTCTCTCTCTCTCTCTCTCTCTCTCTCTCTCTCTCTCTCTCTCTCTCTCTCTCTCTCTCTCTCTCTCTCTCTCTCTCTCTCTCTCTCTCTCTCTCTCTCTCTCTCTCTCTCTCTCTCTCTCTCTCTCTCTCTCTCTCTCTCTCTCTCTCTCTCTCTCTCTCTCTCTCTCTCTCTCTCTCTCTCTCTCTCTCTCTCATTTCTCACTATTTCTCCTACTTACTCTCTTCTCCATTTATGTCTCCGTCTTACTGCCCATCTTTTTTATCTCCACTCCCTCTCTCGTCTCATCTCCTTTCCATTCCTTCAGTCCGTCCCGGCGCACTCACCGCCGCCGTTCTCGAACGTCAGATAGGGGAACCGCCACCGTTCTGGTATGCCAGGTAAAGGGGGAACCGCCACTATCGTACGCCAGGTACAAGGGGAGCCGCCTTTACTCACCGCCGCCGTTCTCGTAGGCCAGGTAGGGGAACCGCCAGACGTTGCCGATGCCCACCGACAGGCCGATGCAGGAGAATATGAACTCCCACTTGGAGCCCCACTGGCCACGGTCATGGGTCTGAGTGACGTCCGCCTTCGGCTCGACGGCCAGCGGCTCCGGGGGCTGGACAAAGACAAAGACAAATTTGTCAAAGGTCAATCATTTCATTAACAGATCTGGTTCACGAAATATGTCGCACAAAATATAGCTAACTTTATAAAACATGACTAAGCAATAGGTTATTTTTGGGAACATCTACGAACATCCGGTGAGTGGACGGGGACTGTTAGTAGTCCTAACTAGCTGCAACTGACGCGTGTGCAACGAATCGCCCAAGCTTGTAAAAATGCGGTGGCTTTGGACCCTGCGCAGCTGCATGATGACCACGTCCGATGAGTTCATACAAACAGTACGTGGAAACGAGCATTTTTACCGGACTGCACCGTGTGCCTTATTAGTCGTCGTGACTCGTGACCGACCACTGCGGGAACACTGAAATAACACGCTGACCTTATGGTTGCAGCCAATCACCACAAGACTTCGCATTGAAAAGGTTCGGCGTGTATGAATGGCAAGAGAGATAGCAGTTACCCCTACCTCTTTGTAAAGATGCTGACTGATATCAATCTGGAGACGATTCATATCACAGGTGTATCACACCAGTTTAACTGGACAATATCCTGTCGGGGATAATTCAAACTTCACTCACTAGGGCGACTACTCACCAGGGCGTGGTCCTTTCCGTTGCTGTAGGCTGGCACGTAGTTGCTCTTCCAGGAGGACTGACCAGAGGGGCCATGTCCGTTCTGATGTCCGTTGTGATGTCCGTTCTGGTGTCCGTTCTGGTGTCCGTTTTGATGTCCGTTCTGATGTCCGTTCGGGTGGCCAGAGCCACCGTTCGGCCGGTAACTCATTGTTTGCACCGGAGGAGCCTGAAAAGAGAAGAAAGCTGTTAGCATCTTCTGTTGAATTTTTACTTCGGAATGTGCCCATTTCGGGACTATATAGCGTTACTTAACTGCCAATGGACATGTGTTGTTCTAAATATATACGTGGGATTCATACCTGCGGAATGCACGATCCCAGTCTGCCCCTGGTGTACCGATCAGACCAAAGCTGTGGTCCATTAATTGGACTGATCGGATCAAAGCACCGGTCCATGTTGGACGGCCCAGTCGGTGGCCCGGGACCCGTTCCCGCCGGCCCGGACCAGGGCGGACCGTGGGCGGACCGGACCGGACCGCGGCGGACCGGCGGTCGACCCGGTCACAGCGCAGGTCGGTGACACAGCACTGCCAGGGACTGGTTCGACTTTCGAGCAGTGTATTTTTGTGACACCGCCGGCGGCTGTGACATTTCCAAAGTGGCTCACTGGGTACCGTTCCGCACTGGCAATCGTGCGATTAGTGCCGCATCATAAGGAGATACGTGAATTAATGTTATGGTATATAAACTGTGGCGTGATCTTGTGCGAAACACCGGAAGTCTAAAACAGAAACAGTCCATTCCCTGATGGGATCAATGACCAGATTTCGAACAACATAATCCTCACCCTCACAATGGTGCCATACCAAGATGAGCCGCCAATATTACCGATCGAGGCCGTCTCGCTGAAAATGAAGGTTCGATCGCCATCGCGATGGCCATACATCGTCACATAGCTGGCTACTGTGAACCGTCAGCGACACATATCTGGCCGATATGAGCCTATAATGGGCCACCACGGACCGCTATATGGGCCGTCAATGAGCTTTATAAGTGAGCCGGAGGGTGGGTGGGTGTCGCGCGCCAGCTGACGCCCGGCGCCGGCCTCCTGTCCAGCTGCCCCACACCGGTCGAGGTGCCGGGTGCGGACGGGCGACGGGAGTGTCAGACGGTCCTATCGTCTGTAGGACGGCTGAAGGTCCTATCGTCTGTGGGACGGCTGATGGTCCTATCGCCTGTAGAATAGCTGACGGTCCTATCGCCTATTAGGACGGCTGACGGTCCTATCGCCTGTTAGGATGGCTGACGGTCGTATCGCCTGTTAGGAAGGCTGACGGTCCTATCGCCTGTAAGGATGGCTGAAGGTCCTACCGCCTGTATGACGGCTGACGGTTTTCAATTCACACTTCCCGGGAATGTTTTCATCGTCTGGTCATGCGCTAATTCTGAATCCATCAATCAGTTCATTAAAAATTCGAGCTAAGCTGAAGTAAATAAATTATAGAAGCATAATCGACTCGCCTGACATTATGAATGAAGCAGTGCGATATTGCTCGTTTATCTCTAAACACGACAGTGTTCATATAGTCATACACTCTCCTATCTGGCTCTCATGACTCTTGATATTTGCAAAGCTTGTCTGACCTCAAATTCAGTTGTTTCTTGATAAGAATTTCAACAGCAAAAACAAGCAAGAGTTAACCACTTAACTAGCCTTTCACCTGAACTTTTGAATAACCTAATCAAGAACCAGTGTCAGGTCATCACACTTTGCCTGATAGCGTTTTCGAAGCCGACCTGAATTTCTAATAATCGATGTTCGGGCGCCTATTTCGGTAAATTTCGGAGCTAGCCGTCCGTGGGAACACAATAGACCACTTCTCACGTGTCTGCTGTCGGCTCGGCGCGGCGGCCAGTGTCGGCTATTGACGCCGGGCCCGACCGTGACCGGTCCAGGCACGGACGACCGGCCCGGCGGGACGGTGACCGGGAGGCGGGAACGAAAGCGTACCGGGACATATCGACCCGGCATGCACCACTGAACGCTTTCGGCGACCAAATTGTTGTGACTGATTTAATAGTAACCGTTTAGAGTAAACGTAAAATGATTCTCATGCCTGTATCGAAAAGTTTGCTCTCCCATTTGCGGTATCAGTTATATTCACAGAAAACTAGACCTTCTGGAACAGATCTGTTATGTTTGAGTATAGGCTAGCCATTGCTGTTGACATGCACCTCATTAAAAAAATGTCGGTCTGAAACGGGCATATATTGCTGTATAACATTTCGCCTGAACTTCGTATACCTACCTGTACCTATTGATAAGAGAAGTAACGGATCTTAAACAAAACACAGCCTTGAACGTGGTGTCAATAGCCACGGGATAGTCAGAAACGGCGTCATTTATTTCACATTTCCCTTTCTCCTTTGAGTTTTGCCTTTCAGACAGTGATCGCCTAGCGTAAATAATCGCTGAGAGTGAGTTTCTCATATTCATGACTACGCTTGATGACATAAAGCGCTTTCTAGTCTGTGTATGCTTATATTGTAGTCGGGCGAAGAAGGCGAAACACTGGGATATCCCCCAGAAAATAACTTAAGTCGACGTTTGTCGAATTCCGCCATGAAAGAAAAGGTTGAAAGATGTCAAAGTTAAAATAGACGACAATATGACACCCAAATGTGTTGTAGCTGAGATATACGATCTCATCCACAAAAGTCGAGGCAGAAATATGGAAAAAATTAACTGTTCGTTCGAAAATATGAAGCAAAGCAAAGCATTTATAGCTTACACACACTGGCGGTCGCAGCCGCTAGCAAAAGAGGGGGGGGGGGGGCCAAAGTCGCACTCGCGGGACATAACATTTATCCGTCACGGGGGGGGGGGGTGATCGGCCAAGTTTTTAGGTGTGTAGCGAAATCTACACCACGAAGCGCCACGGAGCTCGCATAACTTATGCTACACATCCATGTAAATCTTGCGTAAATTTTTTGAACTCAGTTCCATTTACCGTTCCACGGTGTGCTCACCGCGCCGGTCGGGACGCTGCACCATGGCCTGGCGACGGATCGGTGCAGCATATACCGAAAGGTCGGGCATGCGGATTCATGACCTTACCACTATAAAACAATTCGGAAAAGTACAAATACCTCTCGCTTTGAACAAGCATGTGAAACCCAGAGAGCATTTTCAGACTATGACATTTACCGATATAGGTAGTTGTGTGGTGGTGCAGAGTAGGTAGATAGTAGGTATACCGACCTCTGAAGACCCTCCACAGGTTTCTGGATTTCAAAACTGGCATCTCAGGGCCGCGTGCAGACTCCTTCGGGGCTTCGCAACGGTTCTATTGGGGCTCACTCAGTCTGCCTAGTCCTACTGCTAAAAAGACTGCCCCTGGTTCCTGGGGACTTCATCGGTTTCTGCCAGCCCCATGGGACCCATACCGGCTCATTGGGGCCCCGGCGCCGAAATATGAGAGAATCTGCGCGGGACCATCGGGAGCGGGACCAACGTTAGGCTCTGCAGGAGTCTGCGTGAGTCCTCAGAACTTCAGAAGCCCACCCCTGTATGTTTTCACTTACATACAGGCCAGTTTAGGGCCCTCAGAGACCAGTACAGGGCCTGCAAAGACCAGTAGGTTGAGACCATCAGATACCGAGTTGGGCCCTCAGAGGCTAAAGTGGGCCGTTACAGGCCAGCATGGGCCTTCAGAGGTCAGCGTGGGGCCTTAAAAGACCGGTATTGGCCGGCGTTGGATCCCGAGGTCAGCAGAGGGTCTCAAAGGCCAAGATGGGCCCTCAAAGGCCGATGCGGGCCCTTAGAGGCCGGCATCGGGTCTTCAGCAGCCAGTGCGAAGCCCACATTGGTACCAAAAGGTCCCAGAGACAAAAATAAGGTCACCAGAGACCGTCGTGAGGTCCCCAGACGCCGGTTGGGGTCTCTGAGGCCGGTTTATAACCCTCAAAGGCCAGCGAAGGGCCTCAGAGGTCGATGTGGCCTCTTAGCGGTCAATGTGGGCACTTGGCCGCCACTGAAGGGCCCTCAGAGGTCAGTGTAGTACGCTTGAAGACCGGCGTGGGAGCTATTTAAAAGCTGGGCGTGGGTTTCTTGAGTCTCGTGACAATCGAATAAGGGCCAGAGCCCTATAGCCCATGGGGGCCCATCGGTTGTTTGGGAGGGGGGCCAAATGATATGATGGCCCCTTATTTACCTGGGGGGGGGGGGGGGAACCTGGAGCCATGACCCTGATGCCCCTCCCCCTCCCCGCGACCGCCACTGTGTACACAACACGGGCCTCCTAGATCACATACTAGCTCATGCGAGCTCTACCAGACCCCGGAGGTCCCACGCTAATCTTAAAGGAACCAAGCCGGCATACGGGGTCACCAATGGGCTGCTGAGCTGCACAGCACCAACCCATGAGGTCGTACTTTAGTGTCTTAGAGCCACGCTCATTTCTTAGGCAGGGCCCACCCGCCACTGCCGAAGAGGGTCTCATGCCAGCCAATGCTGGGCCTACGAGAGCTTCAAGAAAACCCACGCTGATATTCCATATAAGTTAGCCCTCGCCGGCCGAGGGGGGGGGGGGCGGGTGCCGCCCCCCATAGGGTTTTTCGCGATAGCTCCGAACACGCTAGCGATAGAGAGCTGAAACTTGGCATACCTGACCTTTGATTCAAGCCGGATCTTTTGACACCCATCGCATTTTTGGGTCAGGTCAGGTCACTGACCTATGACGCCATAAGTGAACCTCTGCACGGTCTTCAGATGTCGCAACTTCGCAACGCCTTCACTGCCAGAGGAGATGTCACAGGGAAATGAAACTTGCAGGATGTAGTATCCATTATGAGTTTCACAACTTGTATATCTCGGATTTTTCCTAAACGTCATATGAGGTCAGGTCATTTTCGTGACCTCACCATTATAAGTCAATGGGGAAAAATTCAAACTGCTATTCTGGCGCCGGGAACGATCTCCAACTATCTCAAGTACACAGAATCGTGATTTGATGCACTCCTTGCAAGGTTAGATGCGTCACTTTTGCAATGTTGACCTTGCGTGACGTCATTTATGACGCCATCAAGGTCATATTAGTTTTTCGTCAATAACTCTTGATCAAATTGAGCTAGCGAGTCGCGGAAGCCACCAATGGACTCAGGAAGACCTGCCGAATCGAATGATATGCGACATGACCTCTTTCGACCAACTTCGCGACCTTAGGGT